ATAAATAAATTAGTTCGAATTTAGATATTTACATTTAAATATTCATCTATAGAATACGGTTCTAGTTCAGTAAGCCAGTTCTTCAGATGATCCTTGAATTTTTTCACACTATCAATCACTTACATTTCATTTGGTGATCTATTGAAAAATCTAATTGCTGAATGATTCGGATGCTTTTCTGTTGAAGTTGAACTATGTGTTGGAAAATTGAAATTCCTGTTCCGAATAGGGTTCTGCTATTATTACTTTGTGTGAAATTCATTTTATTTTTATACAGATGTATGACACATCCATAAATATATAGAGCAAATATGGTCATTATTTTATTTGATCTGAAGGAACCTCTGCACGTTTCAACATATTTCATATTGTATAATGATCTTATAACCCTCTTCTGGATCTGGAATATTTCCTTATTTTGACTGCTCGATCCCCAAAATATTATGCCAAATTTTGCAGTGGATTCAAAGTTCGCATGATAGATAATTTTTAGGGACTTTTTATTCAGGTATTTACAAAGTATACGAATGCTGTATGCTATTTGGTTTAGTTTTGCTCCAAGATAGTTGATGTGTGTATCCCACTTTAAGTTTTCATTTATAAAAACACCCAAGAATTTTGTGTTACTTTCTATATTGATGTTAGTTTCAAGAAGTCTTATACTAGTTGGAGTTGTAATTCTTTGCTGTGAGGTCCGGAAAAGGATAACATGAGTTTTTCTTTGTTGAGTAAGAGATTATTTTTTGAGAACCACTCATTAGCTCTCATAATGAGACTTTTAGAATTTTCGCAGAGTTCTGGGTAGTTTGGACTTGAAGTTAGTAAATTGGTATCATCAGCATAGCTGGTTATCAGGCTGTTATCGTTGTTTAATATTGATATTATGTCATTCATAAAGATTGCAAATAAAATTGGACCTGTCATACTTCCCTGTGGAATCCCTATTCTGTATTCTTTTATGTGTGACTTAGTGATTTTACCTTCATGCATAATTTTTACTCTCTGTTTTCGATCTAATAGGTATGACTCAAACCATTTGAATGCATTGCCACGGATTCCATATTTCTCAAGTTTTGATAGCAAACAATTGTGGCTCAAGCAGTCATAGGCTTTAGACAAGTCTAAGAAAATTCCTAGCAATAAAATCTCATTTTTTTCAAAAGATTCTATTATTTTTTCTGTAAATTGAATAATAGCAGTTTGTTCAGATCTTCCTTTGATATAACCATGCTGATGCAAGTTTATTGGGTTACAGTGATTCATAAAGTTCATTAGTCTAGTGCACATAGCCGTCTCAAAAAGTTTCGAGAATGAAGGCAAAACACTGATAGGTCTGTAGTTCTCATATAATTCATGATTTCCTTTTTTATGAATCGGTGTTATTAATGAGATTTTAAGTTGTTCAGGAAATATTCCATATCTGAAAGTATTATTCATTATATAGCATATTACTTCAGCTACAGATTCTATACATGATTTCACTATACTGACAGGAATATCATCATCACCACAGGTGTGCTTAGTTTTGAGTTTATGTACTATATCTTTCACCTCATCTGTAGAAACTGGTTTAATGAACATTGATTGGGGATTGCTGGAAATGTTACAGACAAAATCTCTTTGATCTAGCTTATTCATCAATTTGGGGATCACTTCTAGCAGAAAGTTAGTATACTGATTCACGACGTAGGTTGGATGTCCATCAAAGGTTGAATTGGTATCGTTTTTACCTACTATTTCATTATGTACATGCCACATCGTTTTCATTTTATTATCAGACTTTTTAATCTGCTGTTCATACTGTTCTTTTCTTTTCTTGACTAGCAAATTATTATAATCTTTCTTTAATATAAGATATTCTTTTGTCACATTTGGGATATAATTTTATATGGTTAGTGTGGCGCTCAAAGCATTTCTACATTTTTCAATCTCCGGATCATTTAGTTCCTCTTGTTTTGAAGAGAAGGGCGATTCGCCTGGTGGGTGATACCACTGGCCCTTTGACCCATTTAAAACACTGTATACAGAAAAGTCGGCGACCTTTCACTTTCCCATAGATACTTCCAGGGGATATATTACTCAGAAATCTCTGGTATCTTTCCATCAATGTATAGCAATATACGAACGACGTGCAGTCATACGAACTCGACAGGCCTATTCGAGGGCCCATTCCTTTGTCATTAACCTTGAAATATGTCGAACTTGTTTGTCAATAAAACGGCGAAGCTTTGGAAAATCCAACACCTACCACATCCCCCTATCCTCCCTAGGTACGCAGGATTGTCCACGAACATTATAAGAATTTCATTTCATGTAAATACTGCAAGAGATAAAAAAATTAAATTAAAAAAAAAATAGGTTCGTGGTATGCTTTCATCGTTTATTTCCATAACTATGAACGTAGTATTTGGCTGATGATGAGCTTGTATGAACCCGAAACATGTTTCTTCATGAGTGATTTTTGATCACTATAAATGAAATAAGTGGGGATGACTTCGAATTTTCATCTATCGAGGTATTCTGTGATTAAATACAGTGTGTTACAATTTGCTCCACCCCACCCCTGTATTTCCTTATTCCTTGTGCGATTCGGAATTTTTTTTTTCTCATATTATACTCCCCAAAATTATCTACTTCTGTCGAGAAAAAAAAATTATCAATTGTCTTGGCCTACTGCGATCACAAAAACTAGAGCAAAATTGAAGAAAACAGATTAGGCATTTTTTTACAAAAATTTCGATAATGGCAATCGATTCGGACTAGTCACAAATACTCCTATATCAATTTTCAAAACAATATCTCATACGGGGTGTTTATTATTAAGGTTACAATTTTTCAATAATTGCATTTTTCAAGTCACCGTGTATAATGATCTTATAGGAATTTGAATGATACCAGGCATGATGGTAGTCAGGATCAGATCATCTAGCTACAGAGTGAGATAAATAACGAATAAAACCATTAGAAATTCAGATTCTTTATCAAGAAATTTAAAGAAAAAAATAAAAAAACGTATCAAAAAATAACTTCAAAAAATTATCCAACGAACAAAACAGCAATTATTCAACTTTCATCAGTCTTTCTGCAAACTGTTATCATTCTTTATCGCAATAACACTTCTCTATCTCTAGGCATGAATTTGTAAAAATAATTAAAAGGAGAAATGTTGTTACTGTTCAATTCTGATGAATCCTACTGATTGAAAATTTTGTGAAAAGCTGGCCATGAATTACGCTTCGCTTTTCTCAAACAACTTTGACAGCTAGTATTGTGAAATCTTGCAAATCTGAAAGTATTGCGACTTGACTTCTAGAATATTGAAAATTAGTAGAGCAGGTTGTGAAAAATCATAAAATGGAGAAATTAACTCTTCAAGAAAAAGTTTTGATCGTAAGATTAGTAGGAGAAAACATAATTTCTTACAGAGCAGCAGCTGAAGAATTCAATGTAAGATACCCAAATCGTAACCCTATAGATCACAAAATAGTTTCGAGAATAATCAAACAATTCGAACTAACTGGTAATGTTGCAAGTACGATAAAAAGAGGCCCAGGAAGAAGAATTGGAAATGAAGCAGCTATACTCGAAAGAATTACAGCTAATCCAAATGCTAGTTTGAGACAAATAGCTATCGACTTGGGACTGAATCACATTCAGGTTTGGAGAGTGCTGAAAAAGAACAAAAAAATACCTTTCAAACCTAAATTCCTTCACACACTTGAAGAAGGTGATACTGAAAGAAGAATGGAGTTTTGTTTGTGGTCTCAAGGACATTTTCTGAATGATAACAATTTCCTCAAGAACATTTTATTCACAGATGAAGCGACATTCACGACAAATGGAATATTTTCTTCACAGAACTCGAGATATTGGGCATCGGAAAATCCTAACTGGGTTGTTAATTGTAAGAGACAATATTCCGAAAAACTTAATGTCTGGTGTGGAATTTTGAACAATATGATCATTGGACCTTTCTTCTTCGATGGTACGATGAATGCTGACAATTTCCGCCATTTCCTAGAAAATCAGCTATGGGATAGTCTTGAAGAACTTCCAATAAATATACGAAAAGATATTATTTTTCAACTGGATGGTTCTCCGATCCATAACGCCATCACTGTGCGAGCATGGTTGAATCGAAAATTTCCTTTGAAATGGATTGGTCGTAATAGTCCATTAATGCACTGGCCCCCCCGTTCACCGGACTTAACCCCTCTTGATTTTTACTTCTGGGGAAAAGTGAAAGAAAAGGTTTACAAATTCAGGCCAACCAATAGAGAAGAGTTGCGACAAAGGATAATAACAGTTTGTAGAGAGATACAACCAGAAGAATTGATGAGAGTTGTAAATAACGTGAGAAAAAGATATGAAAAATGTATAGAGAATGAAGGAGATTTGATAGAGAATACACACATCTAAACTTGTTGATATAATTGATGTTTTGTTCGTTGTATAATTTTTTGATGTTATTTTTTGATATGTTTTATTTAGTTTTTTCTTTAAATTTCTTGATAAAAAATCTGAATTTCTAATGGTTTTATTCGTTATTTATCTCACTCTGTAGCCAGATGATCTGATCCTGACTACCATCATGCCTGGTATCATTCAAATTCCTATAAGATCATTATACACGGTGACTTGAAAAATGCAATTATTGAAAAATTGTAACCTTAATAAAAAACACCCCGTATGAGATATTGTTTTGAAAATTGATATAGGAGTATTTGTGAATAGTCCGAATCGATTGCCATTATCGAAATTTTTGTAAAAAAATGCCTAATCTGTTTTCTTCAATTTTGCTCTAGTTTTTGTGATCGCAGTAGGCCAAGAAATTGTGTTTGATAATTTTTTCTTCTCGACAGAAGTAGATAATTTTGGGGAGTATAATATGAGAAAAAAAAAATTCCGTATCGCCCAAGGAATAAGGAAATACAGGGGTGGGGTGGAGCAAATTGTAACACACTGTATGTAGATAATATCTTGAAAATTTCAAGTGCGCATATAGATTACAGATATAATTGATAGTATTAGCCATACATTGTAATAGTGTGTGAACAACCAAAATGAGAGCTCTCATTTTCCTTGGTTGCCTTTCAATTGTAACAGTTTCGGGTAAGTGGAATTGATAGAAAATGAGTAGGTTTGCGAGAGAATCGACCCTCGTTTTAGTGGCAAAATATTGTTTCTATATAGTGACTGGTGGATTTTTCTAGCGGTTGAGTAGTATTCAGTTTCAACTACAGATGCGATCATTCAGTCACTAAGGAGTTAAAGCCAATACAGAAACCTGCGTTTACGTATGAGCGTAAACGTGTAATGAAATAAGTATACGTCTTCAATGAAAAGTAGCGTTAAAGCTCCTACCATATGGTACGTAGACGGTATACGTAGATACAAGATACGAAACCAAACCAAACCCATTTTGGCACTTTCTTATGTTCATAAAATAATATCAGAACATTCAGCGCATCTCGAGAGAACTTCTGAATATTTCAGAATAATTAAATATTTCCATATATATACATGGTGATTCAGGTTTTGAGGCACAAACTAGAATGGAAGATATACTTCATCATTCTAATCAAAAAAATTGAACAAACATTATAGTTCGATCTCGTTCAGTAGCGGAGCTACAGGGGGTCAAAGTTGAATTATTTTTATCTATCAATTGAAATATCTCGCTTACTTATGGAGACATCATTTTGAAATTCGGTGTGGTCAATACTTCCTAGAAGATTATCATTTCAAGTGATTTGATGATTTTCAAAATATACAGGGTGATATGTTTTTGGGGGTAGAGGCTTCTTTATCCCCCTAAACTTTTTCATAGTGCGCCTCTGGCATCTTCCAGTGATAAAATTGTGTGGATTGCTCAACTTAGAGGTTTATTTGGTTCCTCAATTTTTCTCGAGAAGCGAACCGTTTATAAGATAAATAAGCATATCCGTTTCAAAACATGTTAATTTTGTCTGAATTTGTTTCGCTTAAATTTTATTTAACTGAAAATAAACATGAATTTCTACCGCATCCTCGTAACTGATCCAGATTGGACTAGTGATTGCAATTTTGGTGAGTAGATTTCATTGCATTTTCAACGAATTTTGTCAATAAAGAATGAAATGTAAGCGAAACACAGGCAAAATTATCATGTTTTAGAACGTATATGCTTATTTATCTCAGAATTGGATCGTTTCTCGAAAAAAATTGGAAAGGAAAAATAGCCTCTAAATTGAACGAACCACACAATTTGATCACTGAAGAATGCGGTAGGCGTACCACAAAAAAGTTTGTGGGAGATAAAGAAGCGTCTACCCCCAAAACCGTATCACCCTGTAGATTTTGAAAATTTTTAGTTGGCTTGAAATGATGATCCACTGAAAAGTATTGACCACACCAAATTTGAAAATGATTTCTTGGAAAGTAAGCGGAATATTTCAATTAATAGAAAAAAATAATTAAACTTTACTTCGTATTTATCAGTACTATGGATTTCCATCAAGTAACGGCCCAGGCAATTCAAAACAACGACTTGGTTTCCAGGTAGACGAGGGTTCGGAGAAACCACAGACCAAGAATGGGGTTTCGTCAATGTCCGACCAAACGCCAACATCTTCTGGTGGTTGCACTACACCTCAGCCAAAGTGAACAACGTGACTGACAAACCCCTCATCCTCTGGCTCCAGGGCGGTCCCGGATCGTCATCCACTGGTTACGGAAGCTTCGTCGAACTTGGTCCTCTGGACACGAATCTGCAACCAAGGAATTCCAGTTGGGATAAATATGCTAATCTGTTGCTTGTCGACAGTCCGGTTGGTACTGGATTCAGCTACGTTGATGACGAAAGTGCTTACACTACGAATAACACTCAGATCGCTCGGGACTTCCTGGTTTTCCTTAAGGCATTTTTCGATGAGAATGCTATATTCCAGAAGGTTCCCTTCTATATTTTCACTGAGTCGTATGGTGGAAAGATGGTAGCTGAAATTGTTTCGCTTCTAGTGAAAGTAAGAAGATGCAATACTAATGTTTACTTATAATACTTCTATCCCCAATAACACATGCCATTCAATGGATGTCCAATTAAGGTCCAAAAAAGGTTCAGATATCCATGGACAAGAAATGAACATCCATCGGATGAATCAAAATGCCTATCCAATGCAATTTACTACTGACACTATTACAATGAATGTCCAAGAAAGTTCCGGATATTCATGGACATGAATTGTATATCATTGATGGATAAACCCAAATGCCCATCCAATGGATACCTAGTGACACTTGAAAGAGTGCATATGCCATCGCCATTTTTGTTTCGTCTGTTCTCTATTCTCTGTTCGTCTGTATTCTGTCGCTTGACTCGTTCGTGTTTGCTGTTATATTGTTTGCAAAAATTTATTGTATCGTTTGAAGCAGATTCATGAAGTAATAATAACCATAGGGTCATTTTCATCATGTTATCACATTTTAACGTAGGTACCGGTTCATGCAACTTATTATTCGAAGTCAAATTCAGGTTATGTGTAATGATTATTTTTTCAATTTGTTCACATAATATTTTGGGATAAGTGTATGTGTCTGTTCTCTCATTTATTAATTTTTAGTGAAATCATCCATCGTTATGTGATATGGAATATCTGATAGTGGTTTAGTTTTCCCAATTAACCCAGCCAATGCACTGAAATTGTGAAAAGTGTTCCAGCGTGGTTAATTCCCAGCGGGCACAATTATTCCTGGGATATCTTGGGGTGTTTTGAAAATGTTGGCATAAAGACGTTCTCATGAGACGTAATATGCACTTTCCAAAGACATCATTGGAGGTTATTGAAGTATGGTTTTTGTTCTTTTGTGACCTACTGAAAGGTATCCCTGAGATGTTTTGGGATGTTGTGAAAATGTTGACACGAAGCTATCTTCTCAGACGTAATATGCACTTCTGAAACAGAGCTTTGAAGGATATTGAAGTAATATTTTTTTCTGTGGCATTTCTTTGTGTGCCTACTGAGAGGTATCCCTGGGATGTTTTGGGATGTTTCAAAAATGTTGAAATGAGAATGTTTTTTGAGACTCGATATGCACATCCCGAAGAGGTCCTTGAAGAATATTGAAAGTTTTCGTTTTTCTGTGCCATTTCTTTGTCTGCCCTACCACAACGTCTCATGCTCACGTCACAATACGATGAATTCTGATTTGTTTCAGAATACTCTGAGAATATACAGAATCCTATCAAAACATGATTCGTATTTTATTCTTGTATCAATATTTATGTTTTCCCTGATTCACCCTTTTATTATCTATCCTCAATACTAACTATCTTACTATAATCAAGTGCATGTCGACATCTTTCTATTCATATAATTCATCAATTAGATCCTATGGCGCAGTGGACAGGGGTTAGGATTATGATAAGCATGGATTGATATAAGTCGACCGATGTTTTTAATGAAAACGATCTGTGAGATTCTCATTCAGAAAATGCAAACGCTCACGGAGGTTCATAAACATCGCGTAAGCGATGCCATTGAAATTTCAGGAGAATATCATGGCTTCACCGCAGCATTGAACACGCTGGAGTCAAACGCGTCTCTCTGCCTATATTTACGGCCGATTGGAGGCCGATTCTGGGCGTGGCCAATGGATGTGGTCAGAGAGCGTAAGTCCATGAGAACTGAGCACTAGAAAGGGCTCTCATTTTTCATTTGTCCTCGTGACCCAGCAAATTTCTATCAACGTCAATATTCGTATTCGATCCTAGCCCAACCGGGTTCACCTCGGGTATTTCTCATTCTAGAGAGCATGACTTCAGGAAGAGAGATTCATTGACTAAGACTCTAAACACAGAAAAAAGACCCCCCTGACTAACACCAGTCAACTCAACACTGCGTGGAGGATTGTTTTATATCCCTTTCTTTGAATCTGTTTGTTGTGCTTGAAATTGTCCATGTAATTGAGAAAAGAATGTATAAATAACTTTGAAGTTTCAGGATAGTAAAAATGCAATAACAGAAGAGTAGGTTCGATTCCCCAGCAGGGAAAGCTTTTTTAATTTTTTTTATTTTTTTCTATAGCCACCAGCAATGGTTTATTTGCAGCGATTAAATGTGCGTTAAACGCTTTGGAGAGGTAATGTTGTGTCTATAAAAATGCTATCGATAAAACCAGGTAAAATTTATTTTTGTGGCATGCCAAAGATATCTTTATAAACGCCGCCTGTGGCGGACATTGGCTGTTCTATGACAGTTCTCTTCATGTGTCACCAGGACATCGCAGTGGAGGTTCAATGTCTTGACGTCTCCAAGATGTTTTTGTGTTCGCTGGGTTACGATTATTACAGACAATAAACTTTTTCTTGTGTCTCTACGTTTCATTTCAGTTATTTTTTTCATGATAGTTCAATGAATAAATCGCTCTCTACCAGAGTTGTCCAGAAGCCGAATCTACCATTTTTCACATCTTCATCAAATGTTTTATAGGAGGGACCATCGATGAATATAAGATGCAATCTGACTGGAATAGCTCTTGGAGATTCCTGGATTTCGCCAGTGGATTCAGTTCTACAGTATGCTCCCTACCTACTTGGCTTGGTAGGTTCTTCAAAATATTATATCTTCAACAATCTAATTCAATGATGAATGATGAATAATCTGTGGTAGTATATTTGAGAAAACAGAGTTTCATGCCAAAATCAAAAAAATGTTGAGTGTTTGAATTTGATGTTATTTATTCATCAAGTCTGAAATTCGATTACTTCTATCTGGTTCAAATCAAAATTAGACAGTTGTAGGTACAAATAATTCAATATATTGCAGGGAATTGTAGATAAAAGAGGGTACGATAAAATGAACAAAGTGGCACAAGAACTCAAGATTGCTGTTGATAACGAACGATTTGATGAGGCTTTCGGTCTATGGAGAGGAGTAGAATATGAAATTAAAACAGCTACCTATGGAGTTGACATGTACAATGTTCTGAACAAAAAACAAGGAGTAGGATCATCGTCAGGTATGATATTTCTATTTGGAATATCAAGAAGACTAGCTATCATAGTAGATATGGAACTCCATATCAATATCATTATACTCCTACTAATTCATTCGATTGTGAATATGTCATAATATTGCAAATGAGAATGAATTATACGCCTTTACAGATGGTGCAGATTATAGTGTAGACTACCCAGGCCAAACCGGTGTCGATCCGGAAGCAGATGCTATAGTTTCTAAAATAATGAATGGACCAGTGAGAGATGCTCTCAATATTTCCCAATTTTTTGGAACTCAGAGCGATGATGTGTTTAATGTGCTCAAAGGAGACTTCATGAGCCCAGTTGTGAATATTGTGGAGGAATTATTGAATACAACGAGTATTTACATTGCCGTCTATACTGGACAACTTGATTTGATAGTTCCAACTCCAGGTACGTTTCTTATCATTTGGTACCTATAGGTGTTTTGAAAATCGAACATGTTTCAGTACGTAGGTACAATGCTTAACAGAAGTGCGAATAATCAAAGTTGAGATGAAATAGAAGAATGAATAAAATAGAAGTGATCAAGATTCCTGTGTCATACTGGGTATTAGGGTTTATTCTGGCATGACTTCCATACTCTAAAGCCCTGATAAAATTATTGTTTCTTCTGTCATCTACTTCTTTTCATCCTGATACTGATTTCTTCATGCTTGTTTGCATTATCAACTAGCGAGTTAGCGAAAATAACACAATTGAGTTTGCAGTTGAAGTGTCCATTTCATGAATACAATTATCAATAATTCACCATCATGGAATAGAATAAAATAGATAAAATATCACGTTGAAAGTGAAGTTTTCAACTCTGAGCAACTATATTTTGCATATTTCATCAGCATATCTTGATTTCTAGGAACTTTGAACTGGGTCAATAACATGAATTGGAAAAACAAAGAGCAATGGCAAGCAGCTGAAAGAATGCTTTACAAAAATGAAGGTTTTGTAAAGCGATCAACAAATTTTGGAGTTTACTGGGTGGAAAGAAGTGGTCACATGGTGAGCAATTTAGTAAAACTATTACAATATGACTTTCACAATATTCAAACTCATTGTCCTGAAAACAGAATTCTTGCTGCCCTAGAAATGCTTCGTATTCCACTATAAGCTGTAGGTTTCGATCTTCCCAACCCCGTACAAGTTTCGACTTCTGGGGAGTTGGTTCCCAACTCTGAAGTACGGATAATGAGTAATATTTTTTTATTTTCAATTGAAGACTGGCGGGGCAAACTTATCTAAAGTGCCAGAAATGCTACAATCGTTTGTATTTTCGTAGTGCCATCGCCCTCAGTCTACCATATGATTTGTGTGCAATTTGGTGCTCATTTTGATTCAAAAACGGTAAACTAGGTCGCGCTCTCTGTATGTTCACCCACATCATTTCAATCAAAGTGATCTATATAAGTGCCACAATTCTGTGTTCAATTTTTGTTTGGTTTCAGATTTTCCGCCCAGGAAAATCAGTAAAAAGAATTTTCTCATCAGACAGAATATACCATTATTATCACATTATTGTGGTATTTCTGATTTTTTTTTCGATTTGATAGGTGGAACATGATATTGACTCCTAAAATCTGAGTATGATAATGGTAAATTCGAGATGAATTAGACGAACACACTATATGACTCATACATTTGTACTTAGAAGTATCGAAATATAAGTGAAATTTCATATTTTCTCAATGTAGGTAGGAAGCTAGGGCGGATTGCAATTAAAGGAATATGTTGATAATCATCATCTATAACCCACAGTAGATCGATTCTGACAGTGGCATTTCAATCGCAATGATAGTGTAGGGAAAATCATTCTTCCTTATTACAAGTATATTGAAACAATACCTACCTAGTGATATTTTTATTCATTAGAGATGACAAGAAAAATAGAAATAGTTGAGAAGAATTGAAAGAGTTCCTTATCCTAATAGTCAGAGTGATAGTATATTATTCAGTGGTTATCCAATGTTTCATAGGTACCAGCAGATAATCCGAATGCAATGGACTATATCTTGAGAGATGTTACCAATAATTTTCAAGTTTGATCAATAAGAAATGCCCATACTGAAAGAACATGATCGATTTTGGGAATCCCGGAATGATATTTATTACAGAGAAGGAACTATATCAATAAGAAAATCATCGGTATCAGCAATTCACCAATAGTTTTATGATTAATTATAACAGCCATTGTACGAATTATAAGAAATATAACATGAATAGAATGTAATTAATCATTGATTTCATACCCCACCCTTCGACCTACACTTATAAAGTTTGCTGGCACTATTCATAGAAATGGTGAAAGTAAGTCTGTGGTATATTCACAATGAAGAAAATAATGTTGTTTCCATCAAATTGGCTACACAGATTAGTAACAACCTAACTAAATCAAATAATGAAACTGAAAAAATTAAGAAAATGTCTGATCTTTTATAGTTGGCCAAGTGGAGTAGAGTGTTATACGAAGACTGGAACCTTTGGCACGATAATACAATACGCAATGTTTGCCACTAAACAAACCGTGGTCCACTTGATTTTTATTTCTCTTGGATTGAAGTCAAAATTGATCCTTGTGGTACGCTGGAATTGATGGCAATGGTATCAGACGATACTCTGTCTACCACCACATGGAGCGATCTGCCTGAACGAAAACTCGATAACAAATGCATAGCTGAGGTGGTAAGCTGTATGTTGGTAATTTGTGGAGCTGTCCTTGGTGCCAAATGCCTTCGATATATCACCTTTGATATATATAACGCTACAGCTAGAGATTCCCCATGTTTTTCTCATGTAGCTTGCCATATATATGGGTGATGTAGGCAAGTAAATCTCCAGTTGATCTTCGGTGGCGAAAGCCATATCGTCTATCATCAATGATTCCTGAGCTCTACAGATATTTGATAAGCTCAATGTTGATGACTTTTTCCATCACTTTGGAGATGATTTTGATAAAACGGAAATTGGCCTATAGTTGTTGGGCAGGCTTTTGTTCCCTTGTTTGAGGATTGGTTGGACCCAAGCTATTTTCCAGCAAGATGAAAAAATACCAGACTTGTAGGGAATGTCAAATAGCTTGCAGAGAATCGGTGTCAATTCTGATGCACACATTCTGAGAATAACGGGTGTGATTTTATCAGGACCATCAGAATACTTCGTCTTGAGACCGAGCAGAATGATAGTGCGTTGAAGAGAGACAATTTCGGGCATTCGACTTTCAACGGGTGAATTTCTGGCGGCACTCTTCCCAAGGACTCCATGATGGAGGTTGCTGCGGACATCTCCGCAAAAATGTTCGCTTTTTCTTGCGATGTGATTGATAATGTACCTTCGGCTTTGAAAAGTGGTAGGAATGAACTATAAGTGAAATTCCTTCCGACTGCTTTAGCGAACGGAAGCCATTGCGACAATCTATGAGTTTTAATCTTATTGATATATCTATTGTTTGGCTGCACTTCTTCCTTGCTTCAACAAATTCTGCTCTAGTCACGAGATCAGGGTCCTTATAGTAGAAGAACTGCAGTAATTGATAGAAGATCTCATTTTCAGAAGTTCTTTCCCAAATATAGTCTCTCATCAAAGGGCCTTCCCAGTATCGTGAAATTCGACTTTCGAACAAATAAATTATTCAATATCGAAAATGGTATTTCAATACAATACCTGTGAATTCGAATGCTACTGAGCTGTGATGTCAGGGTCTCCTCGAAATTTTACATTGATATTATATGAAGATGGTGCAAGGAAATCCATGATTAGATATCACTATGTAGTAAAGGTGATTAGTGATTTTCTGAACTCCCAAATATTTCATTAGTTTCCAGAATAGCTGTGATGAAATGTGATGCAAGCATTCAACAGTTAGATACAATACGTCTGAAGTGCCATCCTGAAAAAACTTTTTTTGTTCACAAACGTTTGCCTAATTCACAGTTGCAACTGTAAATAAGACGCTTCGAACTAAGACGCTATTCATATGGTTTATTTTGAGTTATAATGCTATGATTTTGTTGACTATATAATTGTTGAAATCAACATAATAAACAGTGATACGTGATACTTTTTCTCAAGTACTCATTGCCGGAAAATTGTATTGCTAATGTGACAACAATGTTTACAAGAGAAAGAGATGAAGCAACTGGAGCTGAAACACAATGTCGCCAAGTGGAAATACCCCATTCTCGGCATAACTTCATTGTTCTCATTTTTCAATATTATTGACAAGAAGGCAGTGATGCTTGTACCAAAATAAATAGAAAATAGAACGAAGTGACCAATTCAGTATATTTATTGATTAATTTTTTTTGCCTTTTCCAATGGTAGTAAGGTGGTATAAATAGGTATGTACGTATATGTATATAGGTGAGTAACTACTAAACTTGAAAGTACTTCACTGGAAGAGATTTCAAACTGAATGTCGTGCATATCTCCACTGTAATTTGATGCATAATGAAATTTCACATCCAATTTCGAAAAATTCACCATCAGAAATCAGCCATCCTACTAATAATGCAGTGCGCAATTTTCCAGTACCACTAATTCTCAAGTAGATAGGGATCATTGAGTTATGTAACAGCATCTGTATTATTTGCTGAAAGGGAAAAATCGATGAATAAATATCCGACTAATCATAGCTTTCTGACCAAATTGGCATAATTGTCAAGTCCATTGTAGAGGTTTTTTTCACCTCAAATATTTCAATGAACTTTTTCTAAAAGAATTCACTCAGGCGGTGAAGGATACTTATTTTCATACAAGAATTAGAAGGTGAATGAATACCTACCTACATCATTTTGATTGAAAATGATTGTGTATAGGGAGGGAGAATAGGAAAAGAAGATAGGAATTGGAATTATTTCAACTCTGAAGGTTATGAAATCTTGAAAATATCGGAAATACTAAATCATTGACAAAAAATACCATGAACTGTAAGTGAACTTTATCAAAAACTGGTATCAAAAAATGTGTGTCAGCCGATAAACTGATATTTTTGGAGGTGAATTACATATCCTAATCTCAATTGAAACTCAACAAGTCATTCTATGGAAGAAAATGCTTATCTCAATCATAAGATTCCTATCAATCCTGAGAGCTCATTATATTTCATATTTCAATCGCTCATATTCAGTCGAATAGAAAACGATTGAAAGATGAAAAGCGTATTCTTTCTCTCTCTGTTTTTTGTAGCAGCAGTAGTTGGTAAGACAATTTCAATTAATATACTTTGAATGCACAATTTCTTTCTTCAAGTTTCATTTCAAAATTGGGCATCAGGAGTAATGCCTTAATCTCAAAGCTCACTTCAAAATACGAATTGAATCATTAATATGGATACGTCTGAACCATATGTTGAATGCGATCAATCTTGAAAGAAAACAGGAATACTCATAACTAAAAAATCCAGGATAACTAGAGTTACTTCCAATTGTCACTCATAATATCTAAGTTATGAGATCACGTGTCCAAGAAATTTTGAAATAAAATTTGGCGGCAGCATAACGCCAGTTTGATGAAAAAATTCAATAGGCACATATAAGGTTTGGGGACCACATTTTTGGCAGCATTTCTTATCTAGAAAATACCTGATCTAATTGTCAGGAAATCAAAATAGCGGCAACTCTATGAGGAAATTGTGAATATCCATTATTTTTATCGCCAAACTGGCGTCTCGTATCAGCTCTGCTATAAATGTAGTTGATATTATACAATTGAATAGTTTTGGATTTGAACACATTTTGAGCCGTGACGCCGCAAATTTTTTCGAAACTGTTTGTCCCCCACAAATGTAGTATACAAATGAAGTAACTGTCCTAATGGCATGCAGGTTGGAAACACTGAAAACATGTAATACATTTTTATGGAGTTTTACCGAAATTTTCCACCGTTGGTCCGACGAGTGGCGCATGCCAAATTTTCCGGAGTGGTTTTATCACTGAAACTCCAATTCTCTCGGAATGCAATTTGGAAACACGAAGGGGATTGAATTTCTTTTTTTTGTAACCCTTTTGAGCCTTGTCCGATGCTGCGGATTGCATGTCATCGGTTATTAGCTCTTCAGTTTGTTCGAACTCGAACGGCAGGCAATATAATATTGCAGAAAAACACGAAAATTCTTCACAAAAAAGGAAGCCCTTTTTATTATGAAGTGCACACGTGTGGTGGGCGTAGGAATCCGACAATTGTTTATATTTTAGGGCTAATTAGAAAGCCCCAAAAAGGCATTCAAATTAAAATAGGAGAACGTTTCTTCCACCATCTCCTTGTCTATTATGAGGTATTGAGGGTGAGTCGTTACCACTGATACAACAAGGCCTGCATGCTCCGTGGGTGACGTCACTTAGTGAGGCCTAACCAGCGGCTCGCAACCGCGTATTTCGATTTTAGTTTTAGATCATCATTGAGCCGATTTTGCTGTTTTTTGAAGGGCTTCCGGTTAAAAAAGGATGCCAGTGGTCAACTGAGCCCTTCTTCGCACCCCATTCGATTTCATTATGGAAAAACGAAGTTTTAAAGCAAAAACCAGGATAAAACACAAATATCCACCTACAGCAAGCCATTCGAATTAAATATATTGGCAAAAATTGTGGTGAAGGTAAACTTCACACCTACTCATACAGGGCCCGCAGAACATAAACTTATCGTGAGATTGATCGAAAGAAAATTGTGGAAAATGTATTTTATTTTTATTGACATGCCGTTTGTTACAATAACCTATGTATTTTTGTCTGATAAACCGAATTTTATAATGAAAATGTGAACAAACCACTATTTATTGAGATATTTCAAGAAAAAGTTCGAAATTTTGCCTTCTTTCTCCCCTTGTGTTGGGGGCATTTGAAGCTACTTGCTCTTATTTTGTCATTGGACACTTTATATACTCATGATGTACTTCGATGGCACATTTTTATATAGAAAATTCAACAGGAAATATGATTTTTATGGCGAGTTTTTCATATTTAGTGAACAAGCATTCCAGATGACGACCATTTAATCAATAGTCAATCAAAATACGAGATGTCAAATGTCAATAGATTGCTTTCGAATGACATTACACACGCCATTATTTTGGATGATATTCTTCCTTCTTTCCACTAAATATGGATTAATCTCAAGAAAATCATATTTATAGTTGAATTATATATAAATTGTCCAATATGATGAAAAAGGAAGGGAAATTTGTTCTGAATGCCATCCAGAAGACAGGTGAAAAAGAAGGTGGAATTTGAAACTTTTTAGTCAAATATCTTCATGATAAATATCATGATAAATGCAGTTTTACCATTTCAAGTAGAGTGTTTGTAGTTCATGTTAATATGATAGTTGCAATTTGATCATTGGAATGAATTCTGCATTCATTGCCACGAGGTAAATGACCGTTTTCAGAAAGAAATTTGAGAATGAGAATTAAAAATGCCCGTTTATTATGAACATTCAAGAAAATTTCCTCGAATTTAGAGATGATTTTGTTGACTATAATATACGAATACAAAACTAATTGCACAATCAAAGCTTTTCTATTTTTCCTCTACTTATACTTTTTATGAGAGAGTAATTGTCTTCTATCATTAATTCATCATTATAAATTGAGCTCTGTTTACTACTGAACTCAGATGGAGTAAAATCCTCGCGGTGAATTGCATATACCCACATTTTCGATAGCTCCTCGTCCAACGGTAAACTAAAAGCAAGAACTTTTGAACCACCCACATAATTTCCCCGACAAAAGGGAACACAACACTTGAAAGGCATTGTTATTTCGCCGATCACAACACGAAATATTTCACAAAACAGTAATTTTTCCGCCAATCATTTTGATGAATAAACAACAAGAGAATTCGGGACCGTTTCAAAAACATACGTGAATCACCGATGAATTAACACGAACTGACGCGTCAGTCGACAAGCGATAAAATAAAACACTGGCCTCTCTTGGTGACGTTACGAGCTGTTTACGTCAGAGTCTGCTGGCCTTGTTGTATCGGTGGTAACGGGTGAGTAGATTACACTGGCAGTCAAACCTAGTTTGGGTCCTTATTTCTGCGGGGCCATGTTTTGAAAAGTACCTAATAGGTAGTTTTTGTAAGTTTCCTGAGTGATTTTCATGTTTTGCTTCTAGCTATGATATCTAACTCACCTATTATTTTGATATTTCATTAGTGAAATATGAAAACAATCCGTATTTACGAATTCCTCCTTGTTTTGGTTGGTTACCTAGTTGTATTCGTATCTCATTCAGGAATCTCATTATTGCCTTGACACTGGGACGTTCTTGTATTCCAGCAGAGCAAACCTGGAATCCAAGTAGGTAGGTTTCATAAGCAATTCATATTTCCATTTGAATTCGTTCAGTAAAAAACTTGTTCAGTACTTATCTTACTCTGAAAACCACGAATATATAGCAGAAAATCAACATTTTCACTGATCACACTGATGATTCACCTGATGGTCACCATAATTGACAACAAACACAATGGCCGGTATGAGATATATGTGAATAACCTAAAATTAACATATTACAAAATTATGTAGCAATATAAATTTCAATATCGACGCAACGTCTCATGAACGTTCCACATCATGATATCATATTGGATACTTCAGAAGGACATTATCGCAATGTTATTTCAACAATATCACAGGAGTTATATCTGACAAATATTTTTGTTAGGGGTCATGTTTAGTGGTTACTTATGTACTCACCTTGGATAGGGATCCCATTACAAAAATGTTTTACTGAGCAAACACAACTAACTTTGCATTGTTCTACCTTTCCCTAGTAACGGAGCCCCATTTTTTTCAACTCCTTTATGAATATTGCGATTTTGAAGCCCGTGACCCCCTCCCCACGCAAGGGATGGTTCCGCCCTTGACGCTATACATATATCAAAAATAGTGTCAGAAGTAAAGTAGAGTCGGGGATTATGGAATACAGTTCTTATTTTTTAGTTATTTCGAAGAATATTGAATGAAATATGAATTCAAAATGATGATGATGTGGCCAAAAGATTTATTATACCGAATTATGATAACAAACTCAGATGAATAGTAGGTATATTAACAAAAAAATCATATTATGGATTATTGAGAAATAATACATTTCTGTTGGCCGAAAAAATGGTCGGGTGATATGAAATACCTATAACAGCTATATCTGATGTCTACCAACCACAAAATCGGAAATGTAGTTATCGGTCTCAGCATCGGCACACAGTTCGTGTGCCCAAAGCTTGCATCTTAGGCTCTGTATCCACTATTCATATCCACTATAGTGGATGGAAGAATTTTCTGCTTCTAACTGCTATATCACTGAGCTTTTTCCATCTTCCCCATTCCACTTCTCATTTGGTGGAGTTTTGGTTCGCATTGCTTTTTATCTTGGTAATTTTAGTATATAATAATTAAATCGGGTAATATGGAATACTATTCCATAATTGCCTCCTCCATTACTTCGGAGGTTGAATATAGTAAAAAATAGAAATCATCTAAAATGAGAGCTATCTCTACATTGGATCTTCCATACATCATTCATCTACTCAACTCAACAATAATATGACATAAAATCACTTCCAAATGTGTTTGAAATATAATTTTAAGACACTCACCTAAAAATTTCGTGAGCACCGAGATTCCATCAACTATTAAAACTGTCAGAAACGATAGCAACTAAAGAATAAACAAACTTGTGGGAGAATTATGAACTCAATGGATTGATATTATAATAAATTGGAATAGATGGCACTTGTAGTTTCGTCAAAAATAGGGTATTCCATATTACCGGATTCCATCGAATATTCCATAAACCCAGATTTCACTCTTCCAGCGATTAATTTAGATGATTTCTAGTTTTTCAGTAGATATTTGATCGATTTATCGATTTATCTTTGGGTTATATCTGCATAATTATATTATTAATTTCGATATCTGACTACGCCACTGGATTATACGTGGAAAAATTTGTGAAAGCCAGTTTTCACTATATCGATAAGTTGGAAGATAACTGAGATACATAAGGGGTCCAGAATGCAACATTTTCAATTTCGCCCTGTAACTCAGACACGAAGCAAGTTACAAACATTTTGTTCGCGGTATCGTGAGTTTCATAAAAAAGTTGCCAACGTTCGCGTAAAACGGCGAATGTCTATATCTTTGAAAATAAGTGAGATACCCCGTAGGGACAGTAAAAATAAGACATCCTGTATAGGGTGGGCCAAAATGGTCACTTTTGAAGGTACATTCCTATTCTCCAAGTAGATAAAAGAAAACTGATGTCGGTGCCTGAGAGATACAAGGTGTGGACATAAATATTTGAAAAGTGGTTACAAATATTTTTTTAGCAAAAATTGTATGTTCTCATGAAAATAACTGCGAAGCATCGAGTTTGCGATAACAATCATTCCTGAGGCACTGAAATCGACCTTCCTATATCTTGTTCAAGAATATTATAAATGTATAACGACTTGTTCTTCTCGAAGGAAAAGTTTTATTTTGAAACTAGATATTATGACTGATTTCAGTGCCTGAAGATCAATTTTCATGACAAACACAATGATTTGGAAATGTTTTTATGGAAACGAAGAATTTTTGACAAAAAAAATTGTTTCAGCCACTTTTCGAAAAGTCGTATGTTCGAAATACACCTTGTAACTCTGAAACGAAGATTGATATCGAAATGCAGTTCTCACCATTGAGTTTGTCATATGAATTGATCAACAGGCATCAACATCATTTTCTATATTTTTTTTATCGCTTGAAGCGCACGAAAGGGAATCCCTATAATGTTCAAAGAACATCGTGCGTTCCTAGGGAGGATAGGGCCAGGAGGTAGGTATTGAAAATTTTTTTGAACTTTTGGAGATTATTTGTTGTTGGGAATACTTCCACAGGCAATGAATTCCAGAGCCTAGCCGTTCTATGGATGAAGGAGTCTTGATAAAGTGCTGTTCGACATCTTTCGAGGTTGACAACGAAAGGATGTGCTGACTGGGCTAGTCTAGTTCGTCTGATTGGTATTGCTAGTGAAGGGATGGTAGCAGAGATTTCCGAAGAACATTTCCCGTGGAAGTATCGATAGAAAAGTGAAAGGTCGCCGACCTTTCTACGGTGTTCCAATGATGTCAAAGAGTCAGTGAGTGTGGCGTCACCCACCAGGCGAATGGCTCTTCTCTGGATGGAATCTAAGAGCATCAGCGTATGTTTTGGTTCTGAACCCCATATGTGGAAACAGTATTCTAGAACAGGCCGTATCTGCGCTTTGTAGATCATGAGAAGCTGTTGAGGTGTAAAGTAGCTTTTCGCACGGAACAAGAATCCGAGTTTTTGTGAAGCAGCTTTTGCGATGGATCTGACATGATTATTCCATGAAAGAGTGTTGCTGATGGAAATACCGAGCATAGATATGGTGGGCTTGGTGGGGATGGTAGAGCCAGACATTACAATATCGGGCATACTGAGTTCCGCCTTTCTAGAGAAAATGCAGGCTTGAGTTTTGGTGGCGTTGAATTCAACTAGGTTGTTTGTTCGCCAGGCTGTGCATGATTTCAGCAAGATCTTCATTGACAGCATTGACCTGCCTGCGCCGTGAGTTCTTAGTTTCCTGGGAAGAAATGGGAATTCTGGAAGAGAACGCAGTATGGGAGGTACTATCATCTGCAAAGCTGTGGATGGGGCAAGTTGTTACTCCCAACAGATCATTGATATGAAGCAGGAATAATGTTGGTGCCAAAATTGATCCTTGTGAAACGCCGGAATTGATGCCAATGGTATCAGACGATACACCGTCCACCACCACGTGAAGCGATCTGCCTGAAAGAAAACTCGATAAGAGATGGCATAGCTGAGGTGGTAAGCCGTATGATGGTAGTTTGTGGAGGAGTCCTTCGTGCCAAACACGGTCGAATGCTTTCGATATGTCCAACGCGACAGCTAGAGAATCCCCGTTTTTTCTGTTGAAGATTGTCATAAATGGGTGACGTAGGCAAGTAGATCTCCAGTAGATCTTCGGTGGCGAAAGCCGTATTGTCTATCATTGATGATTCCTGAGCTCTCCAGATATTTGATAAGCTCAATATTGATGGCTTTCTCCATCACTTTGGAGATTACTGATAACAGGGCAATGGGCCTATAGTTGTTGGGCAGGTTCTTGTTTCCTTTTGTAAATTATCGAATGCTTTGTGAGATTGGAAATGGATTTAGGTAGAGCCAAGTTGGATGCTTGTCTAGTCTGATGATGTGCATTAGCTTTTACGGTTAGCGAATATTTTTTATGTATTAAACATACCGTTTCTATTATGAAAATACATGGTAAGGTGAGGATTTTTTGCGCTTGGAATAAGGGCTTGCAGTGGTCACGAAATTTAGCATTACACATGTATCTTATATAGCCCCCTTTTGGAGTGCGAACACAGAATTGAATAAATTCTGGTTACAGACACCCCAAAAAGTAACGCCATACCGTAAATGTGACTCTATTAATGAAAAATATACCATTCTTGCAACAGTAACACCTAACTCTTTAGCAACGACTACTCTGACAGCATAGCACCCCGATGCCAATTTTTTATTCAAGTTCATCACATGGCTATCAAATTTTAATCGTGTATTAATATGCAGCTCAAGAAACTTAGAGTAACATTTACTTTCGATAATAACCTGTGTGTCCAATATAATATTATCTAGAGAGTATTTAAATGTCATTAGATTTGTTTTGGAGAAAAATGAGAGCAGGTTACAGTCGCACCATTCTTCTAACGAAGGTAGATATCGAAATGCAGCTTTCACCATTGAGTTCGTCATATGAATTGATCAACAGGCATCAACATCAGTTTTTTTCTATCTCGTACGGGAATAGGACTTTCCCTTTAAAAGTGTCCAATTTGGCCCACCCTGTACAGTGCGATCTTCTCATAATCCCATCCCCTAATTTTTGGCCATTTTTTTTTTCATATCTAGCTAGAAAAGGCGTCGGTCCCACCGACCAAGAATGGGGCTATGTCACCGTCCGCGAGAACGCCCATATGTTCTGGTGGTTCCATTCCACTTTGGCCAACGTGAAGAACATAACCGAAAGGCCGCTGGTCATCTGGCTGCAAGGGGGCCCTGGCTCCTCCTCGACCGGATACGGCAACTTCGCTGAATTGGGCCCCCTCGATACGGACCTGAATCCGAGGAATACCACGTGGTTGAACCACGTCAACCTGCTTTTCGTCGACAATCCAGTGGGGACAGGATACAGTTACGTGGAGGACTCGGCTTACGCGACTACCAACCGGCAGATAGCTGAGGATTTCGTGGAACTTCTAAGAGGCTTTTATGCTACCCTTCCGGAATTCGAGACTGTTCCGCTCTACATTTTCTCCGAGTCTTATGGCGGAAAGATGACTGCTGAGATAGCGTTGGTTCTTCACAATGTAAGAAATCAATATTACGTTGAAAATTTCACACCAAACATTTTCCATCAATTTAAAGCCTGTATTTCGTATTGTTACCATAGCAACTAAACAAATTTCTTGGAAATTTTTTCCTCCTCCTTGGGGGACGGAGCATGAAATTACTTTATACGTTTACGTTTATTACGTTCATAGGTTAGATGACATTTACATTCAACTCCAGATTATTTCGAGCTCATTCTATAAGTCAATAAATAAAAATCATTTATCAACAGTTTACCATTATGTAGGTATACTTGCAAATTCGAAATTTACAAAAACACATTTTGTTACTATACGTTAGTTCTTACATTTCATCACTAACAACCATCATTTTTAACTTTATCATCTAAGTGTTGTTGAAATTCCCTTTTTTTTCAAATATAAAAGCGAACATTCACTAGAACGTATAAAATGTCTATGTTTCATGAAATATAATATATGTAGTACTTTGAAACAATCTTATTCTGTTGTAATCCACGAAGAGCTCCATATTTTTCACACGCCAGAAGCAATTGATATTTGATAATCCCAAACAAATTCGGTGAATAAACTATTGCTACGACTAAAGTAGATTAGATTGATCGAAAATAGATGTATAACTAAGATATTAGGTCTCCTGGAAATAATAGAGAACTTATTATTATACTATTTCTATATTATTATCTATCATTTCAAATAGGAACCTTTTCCATTATTTTCTACCAACTTTAGTTGAATAAATTTGTAAAAAACTGAAAGATTGATTCACTACTGACTTATTTTTCTCAAATTTATTCAACTAAAATCGTTCAAATATATTTTATTCAACCTAATAATATTATGCGCGCAAATTTCATGTATATACTGAATAGTACTTTGGGTTCCTTACAGGAAAATATATTTCTACCAAGTTTAGTGAACTGAATTTGTGAAAAATTTCAAAAATAAACTACTATCGATTCATTTCTCATTATTTTGTGTAACTAAAGTAGGTTAATTGGGTTTTATTTAACCTAACAATGTTATGAATGTGCATTTTATCAATAATACTAATACATTTTCATATAAACACTATGATATTAATCCTACTCTTCAGTTTTGACATGAAGAATGACATACGTAAATAAAAAAAATATATTATTCTTTTGAGTTACATACAAAGCCTACTATTCAAATTTCAGAAGCATCAAAAATCGTCATTATCCAAGTTATTTTTTAATAATATTTCAGTGTGAAATTTTCATACCGAATACCACTTCAGCTTCAATTAATACCCGGGAATTTTTTCTCGAACACGAGTATTTAGAAAATTGTCCCTCGTCTTCGACTCGGGAGAATTTTAAAAATATTCGTGTTCTCGAAAAAATTTCCGGAAATAATTGAAGCTCTCGTGATATCATAAGTGAAAATTCCACAACATTTTCGAAAAATCAAAAGCGTGTATTTGTATCGTTACCATAGCAACTAAACAAATTTCTGGATTTTTCTCCTCCTCCTTGGGAAAAAGAGCATGAAATCACACTGGAAATTTTTTGACGTCAAAAGCTAAGATGTCATTTACATTCAAATACATAATTCATTCCATATGTCGATGAGTTCCTTGTAAGAAAATATATTTCTACAATTAGCTCAATGAATTTGTGGAAAAAACTGAGAGATTTAGCTACTATATCGACTTATTTTTCATTATTCCATTCAAATAAAATCGTTTAATAAGATTTTATTCAACCTCATGATATAACGTGAGCTAATTTCATTGATACTGGAAAATATTTCTAGTTTGTGTGAAAATAGATTCCTACCAACTTTAGCGAAATAAAATTGTGAAAAATTGAGAAATTGACCTACTATTTTGAATTATCATTTTGTGTAACTGAAGTAAGTTTATTTTGTTTTATTTAACTCAACAATGTTATGGATATGAATTTTATTATTTCTACATTTTGCTTAGAAGGGCATGTAAAAGCATTGTATTTTATCGAACGATACCTGTACCAATCACTATCCTGAGCAAAATGATTGAAAAATGGCACTTTCCTGTTCGTTAATGTTCACTCAATTTCGCGATTTGATAACGAGATTTGAATTATGGCATCCGGCACCAGTTTAATGGTATATAGATCTCAAAAACCTACCTGTGCCACCTTTTAATCAGAACCAAATCCATGGCACAGCAATCTATTTGTTGCTGTTATTCCAGACACACTTCCGTCATGTGATAACGAGTTGAAACAAAGAGCAAATCAAAGGGTATAATGTCCATTTGCGAAAATTCAAACGTGCCGCAATTCAAACTGATCTAAGTTAGTGGCAGAGCGTCAGTACTTCCGAAAATATTTCATCCCTGTGAGAGATAATATCCGATGGACCAGTGTGAAACTAATGTGGTGCTCGCACTGCAAGCATTCGAATCCACTGTTAGTGGTTATAGTTCAGTCATAGGAGATCCAAAATAAGGCTTACCTGGAAAAAAGTCCGGAAGTTTTGAAACTTTGTAGGATTATAGTTTTGGGTGTCCAGAACTTGAATTCACAAAATGCACATTCCGGGACATGCCGCCGGCGCCGCCATCTTGTCAAGATGGCGCTCAAAAACGGTTTTTTGAAAATATCTCCAAAACGGTGCGTTTTTAAAAAAAATATAAGGACATAAAAATTTAGGATGAAAAAATGTTCTACAAGAAATGTTCCGAGCATATTTCTGCTAAAGAGAGCCGTTTAGGCTAAATAGCTGATTGAATGATAACATATTCTGTTAATTTCTATAAACTGGCCCTAACTATCTCCATATATGCGTATAAATTCATATGTTATAATAAAACGGGCTATTCAATTTGTTCCTCGTTATATTGGACGATTTTGAGATCAATTATGTGACAAAAATTTTGCATTTGTGACTTGCGATTATTTGGGCGATATAAAAATTGCATTATCGACGAATCTGGCGACTTTGCTCCAGAAGTATGTGGATGCAGGATGGTTATGAGTAAATTTCGTACCTATACTATGTATCCGTAGATATAGGTACCTTCTCGTACTGTAAAACCGCCCATAAATTCATAGAAATTTGAAATTTTGCTTTCTTGTCTTTACCACTCCATCCCAATATGAGTAAATACACAAAATATATATTTCAGATGAGATATTTTTATAAATGGTAAAAACACAAGAACTTTTTCATCAACTAAATTACCTTTCCTAACGAACACAATTTGCCAATCAGTAATTTTAGGAGAAAAACGGACATGAAAAAATTGCGAGACCGTGTTTAACCAAGGAAAAATGAAGTTTCTACCAACATTAGAAAAACATAAAGAATTACAAGATCATATTAAAGGTTTTAAAAATGAACATGCCACCCCTGATCAAGTTGCCTTTGCCGGTGAGAAATTTTTCCTTGCACTCTATGGATTCAAAGACACAAATTACACCAATCTTGATAAATATCGATACCAGTGTCTCGTGAAGTCGGTAACAAAAAGTAAATTCAATTTGGCATCTTTACCACCGACAAGCGCAGCTGCACGACAGCATTCGTTGAGAACGTGCTATCAGGTTCAACTATGGCGTGGTTGTCCGAAAGTAGTTGAAGAATGGGGTTGGAAGGAAACACAAACTGGCCTCACTCCAATAACTACTTTGAAAGATCCTGCTTCCAAAGCACTACTTGCTTTTTTATCTTGTAAGTGCAAGGCGGCTTGTGGTAGAGCCTGCGGATGCACGAAAGCAGGATTGCGATGTTCGATGATTTGCGGTGTCTGCAACGGGAAAACTTGTGAAAATATCAGCCAAGTGACACTGGACGAATCCGATGAAGAAGACCTCCATTCGCTACATGATGATTCTTTATCGACTGCAGAAGAAGAATCCGACGAGTTGAAGGAAATTAACATCGATTCGGGAGCTGAGGTAACCAGTTTCCCCGTTGAATATATCGAAATCAACGAGCCAGGTCCGTCTGGCCTTTGCCAAAAATAATTTCAGTACCTGAGTGGATTAGGACTACAGGGGAAACCACGTTAAAAAAAACGCGCCGTGTACTTAGCCTCTTGGGTGGTGTGGAAACAAGTACAGCATTTAAAATCGAAATTGATTGATCATAACTTATTAACATGGATTAATTGATGAATTCATCGATTAATTGAATAATGGATATCCACCGTTTCGTGATAAATATTTTTAAAGTCGTTAAATATCAGATTTGGGGACCCCTAATACACATATTATTTCCGAAACTCGCCACTACAGCAAAAAACGCAACATTTGTAATTTGGTAAGGGCACTTGTGCCTTAACGAGGGTACTTTAGCGAGAATATTCTAGGAACATATTTTATAGGAAATATCCTCTGTCAGCAAGCTAAAAATATAACGAGAAACAAATTAGATAACCCGTTTCATTATAAAAGATAAATTTATACGCATATTTGGAGATAGTTAGGGGCAGTTTATTGAAATTAACAGAATATGATGTCATTCAATCAGCTCTTAGGCCTAAACGGCTCACTTCAGCAAAAATATACTGAGAACATTTCTTGTAGAAAATTTCTTCATCTTAAATTTTTATGTTCTCATATTTTTTTTAAAAACGCACCGTTTTGGAGATATTTTCAAAAAACCGTTTTTGAGCGCCATCTTGTCAAGATGGCGGCGCCGGCGGCATGTCCCGGAATGTGCATTTTGTGAATTTCAGTTCTGGACACCCAAAACTATAATCCTACAAAGTTTCAAAACTTCCGGACTTTTTTCCAGGTAAAAATCCCCAATGACTGACCTATTAGTTACAGAGCGTCAGTACTTCCAAAAATATCTCATCCATTTTGCTCAAGGAAGTGATTGGCGCAGGTGCCGTACGATAAAATACAATGTATTCACATGCCCTTGGGACATATATCATTTCGTTATCAGATGACGGCCGAAATTTGCGGCCGGCTCTTGGACTATGAGAAAAGTTGTTCTATTCCAATTTCCTACTCGAATTTGAACGTTCTATTGCAACTTTTTGTTATTGGTCCTATTTGATTTCTTCTAATTCGACAAAGCTGTCCTATACTTTGGTTAGTTCGATGATATTTTGATAGATGACTTTGGCATTATTTTAGTACGGAAAAAATCAATTAAGATAAATTTTGCTTCTGAATGATAGAAATTTGAAACGGGGACTATTATTTTCTGAAGAAAATCATATTTTGATAATAAGTGATTGAAAGTCAGTAGCTTGATAATGCTACTAGAATGAAACACGTTTGACGATGTTTAGATAGATAGATAGATAGATAGAGTTTATTAATCCTTTGTGCTACAACATGTATAGATAGGATAAGTCACACATGATGGTAAAGGGTACAAAACTACAATTTAAAAAAATAAATAAATAAATATAAAATACATAATACTAGATTAAAAGTATATGTGATACATATTCTTATATGGAACACATTTGTTAATGTTCCATCTTCAAGTAAAAGAGAAAAAAAATAAATTAACATGTAAAACTTCATATTATTTATAAAATTATAGTCAAATAGTACCGACAGCTAGTTTAAATTCATCTACAGTATAAAAACCATTGTCGGCTAAAAATATTTTCAATTTCCTCTTGAAATTTTGAGGTTTCAGTACTTTCATTTCAGTTGGTAACATGTTGTAGAGACGAACACCGGCGAACATAGGGGATCTTTCATATTTTGAGTGATGGTGTTTATGAGTAGTGATCATATTTCTACTTCTTGTATTATGGGTGTGAATTTCCGTTCTCGTTTTTAATTCGCCTTTCTTTCCATGTATAACTGTTAATAGTTGCATAATGTATATACTTGTTACAGTTAGTATTTTATTTCGTCGGAAAATATCTTTACATTATTTTGTTTTTATTACAGACATATCGTTGAAATTGAGAATGTATCAAAAACTAAGAGTTGTTATACATAAAACTGTCTGTTATGGAAAGTTCGAATTCGAGACACATAATTATGTAAAATTCGAATAGGAACAACTTTTCTTTGTAAACTTTTTTGAAATTATAACAAATAAGACTATTTTCAGCAATGAATTTAAAAAACTTTATCTCCTGACATGTAGCGAAAGTCACGTGGCCCCGACCGGGAAGTAAATTTTTCATGTTTTTTGAAGAAAAACTTCACGCCCAAGTCGATTTTTAAAATGAATAATGATTGAAAATGTTTCCCATACGATGCCAACTTTATGAATGACACTGTATACAATGTCTTGTACATGTTCGAACAAACATGACTAACATGAGAAATGTAGGAATCGATGGAAATACAAGAAAAAAATGCAGATTATAAACATAATACACTACACTGTTTTACCACTAACCAAACCGATTTTTTAACGCCTCGACACATGCTAACATAGTTAGCGAAACACGTGTCGAGGCGTTAAAAAATCGGTTAGGTTAGTGGTAAAACAGTGTAGTGTATTATCGTGCCAAAGGTTCCAGTCTTCGATATATATAAACATAATATTTTTAACGGAAGATGAAACGATGAATCATGAACAATAGGAGGACACGATACTGATAGAGAGGATAGTTATTTCTCAAGATTCCATCAATGTTTTGATAACCGGTATGCTAAGAAGAATAAGGTATCTCATTGCGGAGAGGTTCAACAAAAAATGGACCATTGACAACTGACAATAACAAACATATAGTTGTGTTTGTATGACAATGTGATTTCCTTTTGTTTCAATCAGAAATTTTGTGTTGATTGTTCTGATCTGCATTATTTTCGTAAAATTTTCATTTATTTCTGCATTCTTTGTTTGAAAAAAAAACAATACATTGTATATAGTGATAGCCTTGAGGTCATGCCGCTCTAGAATTTTGTTGAATTTGAGTTTATGGTGGTTGCACATATCAGAATGCAATATGTTTAAAAAAATTCCATACATCAAAACATCATGTATTTGAAACTATTTCGAGAAAACTCATAATGCTTCATCATATCGCCCTCAATGAAACACAAAAAATATTCCCTTGTCAACCGAGGTGATCTTGAATTTTTCGAAAATTTTCACATTTTCAGATTTCACCGTGTATGTCTTCATTCATAATTTGTTGGATAATGAAAAATGACTGATGCTGTACTCAATGAGATGAGCTATTAGAATCTTGAAAGAAATTATTGGAGATTGGATGATCAAATCCAAAGTTATGACGGTTAGAAAATGGAAGAAATTGTTCCTTGTCTCTCTTCAAATGTGTGGCATTTAAGATTTCACGAGATATCGTTATTTCTAGGCAATTCAACAGGGCAATATTAGTTGTGACTTGAGAGGAATTGGTCTAGGAGATTCATGGATTTCCCCTATCGATTCAGTTAAAACTTGGGCACCATATTTGCTGAATCTTGTAAGTATAAATTTTTTGTGATTATCTAATTTCAAAGATATTCTTCATCTGGTAATGCTATTACAATATGATAAAAGCGGCTGAATAGAGTTATTAGCGACGATATATTTTGCTATTCCTCTGAATTCAGAAGCCTTCAATAGGAAATTTTGGGAAATGCTTCATTAAGTATAATTTTTTACGTTCAACATTCAAATAAGCACCAATGTAATCGATCTGCTGCGAAGCGGTGAAGAGAAAATAGCGAATAACAGCTTTAGAATCTGCCGATGCATAGGTATCTGATATTTAGTGCATCCCATTTTGGTTGAGACAGACAGATATCTCGGTTGTTTTTGAAGATAGAACCATGCGGCTTCCGTGTTCCTGTGCCACTTTCTTGTGAAACTCTATATCTTCTGGATAGATTTTGCCTAATTTATTTTGTCCATAAATAACAGGGCGTTTTTGAGAATTCACACTTTTTGGACTCCCTCCATAGCTACCAAGTTTCACCAAAAAGGTTCTATTGTGTTCTCGGTTGTCAGTTGTCACTCATTCTGCAAACTGTCAACTTTGACGCGTTCATTTCAATTTCAGAAAAAATTGTTTCACGTCATACGGTTGCCCCCTTACGAGCAATCCTCAGAAGTCTTCGAGAAACTTGTACGAACAAGGAATGACAAGGGCCTTACCTTTAAACGTGTGATCCCAAGCACTCTCTTAGGCCATCAAAAAATGTCTGTGACTGATGCTTGAACCACGAGGCTACGCTGGCAACAATCAATCAATACTGGCAACTTCAACATCCTGTATCTCAAAATCGAAGCAAGTTAAAACACCATGTTTAATATGAAAAAGAATCAATCACCTCCTGCTTTTTTTTCTAACTTTTTCATTCACACCTTGTATTTTTGAATATCTCTTGAAGTGCAGGAGAGGAAGTTCCTATAACGTTCGAAGAACATCGAGCGCGTGGTATTGGAATTCTTCTTGAACTTTCGGAGGTTATTATGTTCTTGAGAATACTTCTATTGGCCAACAATTCCAAAGTTTTTCCGTTCTAAAAACGAACGAGTTTTGGTAAAAGTGTTGTTCGACATAACTCAAGGTTAACAACAGAAGGATGTGCTGACTGAGTCTGTCCAGTTCGTCTGACTAATATTGCTAGTGACGGAATTATAGCACAGATTTTTGTGAAGCAGTTCTCGCGATGGATCAGACATGATTTTCGCTTAGAAAAGTATTGCTGATGGAAATACCGAGCGTGGATATAGTGGTCTTGGTGAGAATGGTGGTTCCATATATTATTATACCAGGCACACTGAGTTCCTTCTTTCTGAAGAAAATAAAAGCTTGAGATTTTGTGGCGTTGAATTCAACTAGGTTGTTGATTCCCCAGACTGTAAGTTCTTAGTTTCCTGGGAAGAAAAAGGAATTCTAGAGGGTAACGCAGTATGGAGAGTACAATCGTCTGCAAAGCTATGGATAGGGCAACTATGGTTGCTCCCAACAGATCATTGATATGAGGTAGGAACAATGTTGGTGCCAAAATTGATCCTTGTGGAACGTCGGAATTGATAGCGATGATATCAGACGATACTCCACGATACGTCCACCACCACATGGAGCGATCTGCCTGAAAGAAAACTCGATGTAAGATGGCATAGCCGAGGTGGTGAGCAGTATGATGATAGTTTGTGGAAGAGTTCTTTGTGCCAAGCACGGTCTGATGCTTCCGATATATCCAATGTCACAGCTTGAGATACTCCATGTTTTTCTAAAGAAGCTTGACAATATTGAAAAGGAATATTCTCAGATATATTCATAAACACAAAAAAATGGATATACATAAAGATATACATTGAGAATTCACATTCTCTATGTGCTGAAAATATTATATCTTTCTCGGTTTATTCAACAGAAAACAACTACTAAGAAAGTTGATGTTACTTCCGATCAGACCGGAAGTTAACTTCGACATGCCAATATGCTCAAATTCTAGCTCTTATGTCATTATATCGACGCTCCAAATTTCACAAACCTACTTCATACAATAACTGAGATATTCCGTCGGCAATACTTCCGTAGCCACCCGGTATACAATTTTCATCTCCCTATAACATAACTAAAACTATAACGAACTGATATCTGAGAATTATAATTTGTTGACATAACCACTGTCATCTGGGCATTTCTTTTTGAATGTATGATAAATTGATATTCATCATACAGGACGTGGAAAGAAATTCTGAATTGGGGAAACCCAATCACGATCTGCTTTTGAGGTCTATAAAAATATCAAGTTTCCATAGTTCAAGTTTGAACCCTTTGATTGGGTGAAAGTATTGAAGAATTCGCGTTCTCCATGTGATGAAAATATTAATTCTTCCTCTGTTTATTCAATAGGAAACAACTACTTTCCTGGCTATATATGCCACGACGAACATTGAATTATATCTATTGAACACATGCGATAAAAATTTGAAAACAAAATCTTCTAAAGTAGAGCATTTGCATTCTCCTCCATATAAAGATATCCACATAAGAAAAATAAAAGCTTGACAATGTTGATGGCTTCCTCCATCCCTTTGGAGATGACTGATAACACGGCAATCGACCCATAGTTATAGGGCATGCTTTCGTTTCGTTTTTTGGTGATTGGTTGGACTCTAGCTATTCTTCAGGAAGAAAAATACCCGAATTGTACGAGATGAAAAATAACTTGCAGAGTTGTCAATTCTGGTGCACACTTTTTGAGAATGATAGGTGGAAATTCATGAGAACCATCAGCCTTATTTGTTTGGAGACCGAGCAGAATGCGTCTAATAGTGCATTGACGGAAGACGATTTCGAACATTCGACTCTCAACGGTAGCGGCACTCTTTCCTCGAAACATCTCTCAAAAAATGTTTACTCCTCTTGCGATGCTGTTGCTAATATGCCGTCGGCTAACCATAGACTCGTGCCCTTTCTACTGGGGCTATATTCCGAATTCAACTGACAGTACTGAATCTACTGATTTTTCATTCCGAAATCGAAAAAATCACTGAATGTGACAGATGCTTGTGAGCAGATATACTATTCATTCCAAATATTTTGACTCAACATTCTGCTGAAATTGCTGGGTATCAAAGGCTATATTCCGAATTCAACTGACAGTACTGAATCTGCTGAATTTTGATTCCAAAATCAAAAAAATTGACTGAAAGTGACAGATACTCGTGAGCAGATATACTATTCATTCCAAATATTTCGACTCAACATTCTGCTGAAATTGCTGACTATCAAAAGGTAGTGTGGCTTCAGTGAACTGTCATTATTTTTGAGAGGAACGGAATGACACATTCATTTCCGTTGTTTTTCAAACATTAAGTCTTATCAATAATACAATAATAATATCATTTTGATATCAGAAAATGCCTGTTATTCATTTAGCTCAAGCAGGAGCATCTGCCAGATCAATGACAACCGACAAATTTCACCAGCTGATCAACTGCTGCTCATTACTGATGAAAACGTGTTCCGAATTACAGCAATGTATATTTGATTTTATATTTCGGAACACAGCTTTTCAGCAGAGTCAGTGGCGCACACAAGGGGGGGCACTGGGGCACGTGCCCCCCCCCCCCAAAGAACTGCCCGCGAACACACACAACCATTGCCAAAGCGGAACCTACCAATTTTTCGGTATTCCTATCAACATGAAGATCAGCGTATACCGAAAATTATTCAGTAATTTACCAAATTATAGTAAAATACTTTCGGTTTCTAAGATTTTTTTTCACAATTGAGATTAGAAAAAAAATCCGCAAAGCGTGATATATTTTTATATTACTCAAAATATTTTCAACATTGCCAGTATCAACAGCTACAGCAGAAAGAACATTTCGATTTTACGAAGGCTTAAATCATATTTAAGAAATACTATGGGAGAAAATAGGCGGAATGGCCTTGCCAATTTGAATATCCATAGAGAGGTACATGTAGATACGAATGAGGTATTGAATATTTTGACAGAGAGAGGACCTATGGGAGGCTGGATTTTGTTTTGTAAATTCCCGTTTTATTACCTACCTAGTTTGTATAGGTAGTTGAAAAATAAAAAATATTCGTTAAATTTTCGACAGTTTGCTTATTTACCCCTTTTTTATTAGGGTCAAAATGCAAGTCTTTTAGACACATTGTGTCCCTCCCAGGCCTGAGTCCTGGGTGCGCCAATGAGCAGAGTCAGTGGATCTAATGACAAAAGTGACCAGTTGAATTCGGAATATAGCCAAAAGTTAGTGTGGCTTCAGTAAACTGTCATTATTTTAGAGGGGGAAGGAATGTAACATTTATTTCCTTTGTTAATTATATTATTTTCAATATCAGAAAATACCCGTTATCGAAATAATAAACGCTGAGAATATAATAAAGAGATTATATAGACTATATTGGCTATATTCCGAATTCAACAGGTCAGTACTGTCAGTAGATCCACTAACTCTGCTGAAAATTTGTGTTCCGAAATATAAAATCGAAAATACAGTGCTGTGATTCGGAACACGTTTTCATGGTTTTCATCAGTATAGTCAGCAGCAGTTTATCAGCTGGTAGTCAGTCTGTAGTTGCTCGTTTATCTGAACTAGTCAATTATCCAGCCTCCTGGTTGACATGCATTTTGAAAATTTAATATTTACCATAGAAGAGCAATTGGTTCTTGTAGCCTTCATAGGTTCTTAGATTGTTGACGATGGCGATTCTAGCTCAAGTGATGAAGAATACCTACTTGGACATTTATGTAATATGGCATTAATGATGATGAATTTAGGGGACATTTCAGGTTCCTTCAGATATGTATTCAACCAATGCTGCTTCTTCTTTCGTTACCTCTTCTACTTCATACTCCATATTAGTCTCAGCGTTTATTATTTCAATAACGGGTATTCTTTGATATTGAGAATAATATAATTAACAACGGAAATAAGTGTTACATTCTTTCCCCCTCTAAAATAATGACAGTTTACCGAAGCCACACTACTTTTTGACACTCAGCAACTTCAGCAGAATGTTGAGTCGAAATATTTGGAATGAATAGTATATCTGCTCACAAGCATCTGTCACATTCAGTGATTTTTTTGATTTCGGAATGAAAAATCAGCAGATTCAGGACTGTCAGTTAAATTCGGAATATAGCCAATGCATGAAGTAGAAGAGAGGTGACGAAAGAAGAAGCAGCATTGGGTAAATGAATATCTAAATAAACCTGAAATGTTTCCTGAATTCATCATCATTGATGCCATATTACATAAATGTCCAAGAATTCTTCATCACTTGAGCTTGAATGAATCGTCATCGTCAACAATCGAAGAAACTATGAAGGCTACAAGAACCGATTGTTCTTTCATGTTAAATAGTATATTTCCAAAAAGTATGTCAAGCAGGAGGCTAAATAATCTAGTTCAGATGAACGAGATACTACATACTGAAAAATTTCACCAGCTGATCAACTGCTGCTGACTACTGATGAAAACCATGAAAACGTGTTCCGAATTAAAGCACTGTATTTTTGATTTTATATTTCGGAACACATATTTTCAGTAGTCAGTGGATCTGCTGACAGTACTGACCAGTTGAATTCGGAATATTGCCTGAATAATATGTGCTGAAATCAGCTGTATTAGAAATTATGAACGCTTCCTATTTTCTTCTCAATTAGGTTATACATACTCCTTCTTCTATCCACTATTCTTATTATAAATCTTCGTTAATTTGTGGAAATATAAAATTGAATACTTTCCAGGGAATTATAGATGGAGATGGTTACAAAGCCATTATGGCAGCTGCAAATGAAACTGAAGCTGCTATACTAGAAGGAAACTACGAGCAAGCGACAAGTATGTGGTCATATGCAGAATATGTTGTGCAGGCGGCTTCTAATTACGTTGATTTTTATAACGTATTGACCAGAAACACTCTCTCAAGTAGCACAGGTTAGTAAAATGACGTTTCAGGTCATTATTGGTCCATGACGTCCTCGACTGCAGGGGGACCTGAAAATGACGCAATGTTTCAAGACGTCATATTAGCGTATATTACCGGAGGTCATAAAAACGTCATAAAAATGTAGTGATAGTTAGATTGGTGAATCTCACTCATCACCTCATACAATTCATTCACTAGTAGGTTCATATCACAATTTGGGGTTTTGTATACACATATCATATTATATAGTTTTGTTCTGTAATGCGTCACATTCCATAACAAATAGTCGAGTTATCTAATGGTTACGTTTATACCCTATGAATGTTTGGTATGCTAACCAAGGTGATCTGACCATATTCAGCCAACGAATGTTAACACCATGTATCTTCAGTTGAGTAACGGTACCAACTTCGTTTCGATTTGATTATCATTTTGAGGTTGGGTTGTGGAACTCTAAAACTAGCTGGAATTGAATGGAATATTTTTTTGAAGAATCATAAAATGACTGACACTTGCAATCAACTCAATTCAAAGCTCTACAGAGGTAGACCAAAGTGTTCACACCATGTTGGTCATCATAGTATTTTATCCTGGTACGCAACAAATGTCGGTACCAAACCCAAGCTGGTACCTTCACCAATTGTACTGACCAACAGTATTTAGTTGAAATATAGTCACTAGTCAGCTATAACCAAGATACGGTAGAAATGTGGCCAACACTTCATCCACCTATAGTAAGTTAAAATGAAGTTAACATAATAATATACAATGTTTGGTTAATATCCGCACCCATGAAACGCATCGGTAGGTTGAAGTTGAAAAGACAATCAAACAGTGAACTATAACCTATTTAACCGTTACCCACGTGAACATAAGGCCAGAGGCCTCTGACGTAAACAGCTCGTGACGTCTACTAAGAGAGGCCACACATATTTTCTATCGCTTGTCGTTTCGTAGTAAACGTAGCCAGACCCACTATTTTAACAGTAGATCTACTGTTTGCGTCTCCGATCTACTGTTCAAGGCAATAGTCTGAATGGTCATGTTTTGATATGACATATCTACCTAATATGTAACAATGAATAATCAATGGGGCATGACAGTAAGAAGATGAATGATAAACATATAATGGAATTATTATATTCAGTCTGAATAATAAAATTCAGCTTTCATTTTCAATTTGGTTGTGGTTTTTACAAATTTCATTTTAGATTTTATTATTTTAATTTTTTGTTCGATTATAATTGGTTTAGAGAACAAACATGATTTTTTTTCGTTCATTATATAGCTTTCTATGTTTTTTCATTCATAAGAGCAAATTGTGATGATTATTGAAATCTACTGTACAGTTTTTATGATCTACTGTTTTTTCCTCACCCATCTACTGCTCTGCCAAATTTTCATCTGGCAACACTGCTCGTCGTCAGTTCGAATTCTTTTGTTGTTTATGCATCAAAATAATTGGCGGTAAAATTACTGTTTTGTGGAATATTTTGTGTTGTGATAGGCGAAATAACAATGCCTTTCAGGTGTTTTGTTCCCTTTTGTCGGGGGAAATATGTGGGTGGTCCAAAAGTTCATGCTTTTAGTTTCCTGTTGGACAAGGAACTATCGAAAAAGTGGGTATATGCAATTCACCGCGAGGATTTTACTCCATCTAAGAACAGTAGTGAACAGCACTTAATTTATAGTGATGAATTAATAATTGAAGACCATTACTCTCTCATAAAAAGTATGAGTAGAGGAAAAAGAGAAAAGCTTCGATTGTGCAGCTAGTTCTGTATTCGTATATTATTTTCAACAAAATCATCTCTGGATTCGAGGAAATGCTCTTGAATGTTCATAATAAACTAGCATTTTCAACTCAATACATTCTCAAATTTATTTCTGAAAATGGTTATTTGCCTCGTGGCAATGAATGTAGAATTCATTCCAATGATCAAATTGCAACTATCCTATTAACATGTACTACAAACACTCTACTTAAAAATTGCTGTTTCAAGTCTAACGACCAATTGGGGAAAAATCTAACGACAGAAAATTGAAAACACTGACTGGCTATTTTTTTGGGTAATAGGAGTTCTCTAAGATAAATATAGGTGATTATAACAAACGGCATGTCTATCAAAATAAAATACATTTTCCACAATTTTCTTTCGATCAATCTTACGATAAGTTTATGTTCTGCGGGCCCTGTATAAGTAGGTGTGGAGTTTACCTCTAATGAGATTGAATCACTACAATTTTTGCCAATATATTCAATTCGAATGGGTTGCTGTAGGTGGGTATTCGTGTTTTATTCTGGTTTTTGCTTTGAAACTTCGTCTTTCCATAATAAAATCGAATGGGATGCGAAAAAGGGCTCAGTTGACGACTGGCATCCTTTTTTAACCAGAAGCCCTTCAAAAAAACACCAAAATTGGCTCAATATTAATGTCAAACGAAAATTGAAATACGCGGTCGCCTTATAGCGCCATAAGCGCTTGTCGTTTCAAGCCGGTGGTTAGGCCTCACTAAGGTGACGTCACCACGGAGCATGCAAAACTTATAGTCTCTATGGTAAAGATTTAACCCGCCCCACAGGGTGTTCCTAAATATCATAGACATATTGATGGAAGTGATTTCTTGACTGCAAGTTATTATGAACGAATGTGTGGAATTGCTGCGTTTTTGAGATAAAGGCCGTCAAACTTGACTAGATAGTAAATACTGAATCAATGAGATTTAGCCCAACATGCCTGATAAGAATGTTTCTGATTAAGGAGATACAGGGTGTTCTAGGAAGAGGTTTCAGTTCAGTATTAACCAATACCTTCGTGAGCTTCAACAGCATGAACATGACTTCTTGTAGTTTCAGGTTTTCTGACATGAGGAATACGAATTCTCAATTTCTTTTGTGTTCGCTCATAGAGGGCGCTAGTGGTACTCCGTTACATCATATCTTCTTTGTCCATTTGATGATGATCAAGATATGTAAAAAATATGGAAGCCCTTTCAATTCCATATGAAAAATGTAATAATTCTCAAATTATTATCATAAATCGCTCTAGAAGAAATTCATGTTCAACTTATAACATTTTAATAATTTTGAATTATGAAGTTAGCGAAGTGACAGTGGAAAAAAACACAGTATTCAATAATGACAATCACTAACAACGCCAACAACAAACATAATTTCAAAGTCAATGTACGACAAAATAAGTCAAGGACAATTTTAAGATAAGATGTTGCCTTGATAACCATGTACCTGCAACATTTCTATGAAGCATGTTGGGCTGAATCTCCATATTTTGGTGTTTACTATCTATAGTTCAGAGATTTCCCATTCTTAAGGAATCACCCTGTATAAATAAATTATTCTTCTGTCCACTCTGATGACAAACATTGGCCGGTTAGGTGCCTGAAATAGTGCAGAAAATCCAGAATGTTCGTTTGTATGGTTAGTAATCTGGACTGATGTCGCGAATGAAATAACCAGCAGTTACATCGAAGTTTGGAGTCTCGTTTTTTTATTTTATCCTCGAAAACAGTGCTTCCTATCAAATTTCCACAAGAGTTTTTGATCCTACAAAATTCGCCATTCATAGTTTAGTGAAAAATGACTGCAAGTTAAGTTTCATTGAACAATGATGAAAAAACTCACCTGAGTTATAATTTTTTCCTCCATTGTTATCATGAATTTTCGTCGGGTGAAAGCCAATTCAATTCAATATACTTCTCTGTTGCTTACGTTTTATTGATGAACAAATAGTTGCCTCAGGGTAACATCAATTCATTGGAATAGCTCATATCTTTGTTCTGCGATTGCTTAGTACATGAATGAAAATAATATACAAACAAAGTCATTTCCACGAAAGTTCATAAATGAACAAAACTTGGAGATAAGGTCTGGCTACGCCTAATATTCAATTAGATCCTCTTAAAATCTATGCGACGATTCGTATAGACGAATAAGACCGCAAGTGTTATTTTCCTTCATGCTGAATTGCGCCCAAATTGTTCAGGAACGCTTGACTACCTGCAGACTGGTTTCGAGCTTTTGACTTTCATCAGTGCAGAGGTGTCTTCAGATGGCATTCATGACCGCCATCTGTCGCGAACCAGACCCAACGTAAACACATTCAACGAACGCCACCTGAGTAGAAGGAAAGAAACACAACAAAACTAATTCCTATTTCAGATAAATTGAGAGTGGCTGATTGCCCGACTGGCGTTTTTACATAAATGAAAGTTCCATTTTTTTATCGACACCCTGTAACTTGAAAACGAATCAGATCAAGACATATCTATTCATGGAAACTTTGAGTCCTGAAATAAGCCAGTAAATGACCTCCTCCAATATGTTCATGACCTTCAATACCCTGTTTATAAATGCAAAAATAATTATTTAACAGTACTCAATTGATTGTTTATTTTTGATAGTACAAATGCCTGCAGTCGATCCTAATGCTGATGAAAAAGTCAATGGATTGATGACTGGTGTAGTACAGAGAGCACTGAACGTTTCTCATGTTTGGCAAAGTCAGAGCAACGGAGTATCTGAATATCTCACATCCGACTTCATGAGACCAGTTATAAGTATAGTTGAAGAGATTCTGAATTCAACGGATATACAAGTGGCGGTGTATAATGGCCAGCTTGATCTCATTGTCGATACCCTAGGTAAGCAGGGGTATACATTGTGGCCCACGTTTCGTTTTCCCACTATTGCTATTCCTGAAATGGTTAGAGATAGGAAGTTAGTTGAATGGAACGAAAGTGAAGTTATTCCTATTTCCCGAAATGAAAGGGCTAGCGCCTGAGAACGAAAATCGACGACTTTGTTCTTCCTCAATTATCTCTGAAACGGTCCATTCAGCTAACTTTCTATCTCTAACCGTTTCAGACTTAGCAGTAGTGGAACAATGAAATGTAGGCCACAATGTATACTACATATATAATATTTTCATGATGAGGCAATCTGATTTATCAGATCACAGAACATACAATATTTACTATTTAGCCCACTCAATAAATAGGGGTGTAGAGTGCGTGAGCGTGGACCTGAGCGATTTCTTTCAGAAACTGCACCCCAGTAAACACATTTGTGATATTTACTCACATCTTATTTCTCTTGGATTTACAGCAATGTTCCATATAACAGTCTTATATATTAATTATATGACATCTTCGTTACTATGAATAGATTCATTGAATATCTACGGAATTATGCCAATTTCATATAAATTCATTCACAACAAATTCATCTTCGACAAACGGACGTGACAACGACCAATTTAGTTGCAGTTTATTTCGAGTTCTCAAGAACGAACACGAAAGATAGATAATCGAGCGCATCGAGCTGGACACGAGCAGGTAAAGGTGAAGTGACACATAATATTTCTTCCTCCTTTATATTGATAAACTACGAATACTACAAGTGGAGCGATTGCTTAGTGGTGCGTGTATCTGACTTTCACGGCGGTGACTGGGGTTCAATCCCTGTGAGGCGCTAATTTTTTTTTCGATTTTTTTTTCACTCTATCAATTTCTCAAAAATTATCTCATTAACACGAATAACCTTCTGATAATCTTGAGGTTTGAAAGATTCGCTGGTCTTGCTCGACCCTTGTGAGCTGGACTCGCTGGAAGGTCGAAAGGAGTCTCATCGTCTCGAGTTGAAAATTAAATGGCGTCAACGACATTGTTATGTTTTGTTGTGTTATTGTTCCTTGACCAGCGAGGTGAGCTAGTGGAACGCAACAGCGAATCGTGCCGGACTATCCCTAGCCGATGCTCCGAAACTCTACAATATTTAATTCGTAAATGAAATATTGAAAAAAGTTCCTTGCTCGTGCTGGGAATCAAACCCACGACCTTGCAGTCGGGGCTTCACTTCATATTCATTTATTTCCTATTTCTCTTTACACATTTGAACAGTTTCTAACGGGACAGACACATTATATAAAATAGTATTTGATAAAAATGGTCCTCCGTGCAGTGTGAAGTTGGCTGGTGTTAGCCAGAGCGGTGTGTGCCTCGTGATTAGTCCTGTCAAACTAGTCTCATCCCCTTGAAGCTTAGCTCCTTATGATGAGAAATATCCGAGGTGAACCCAGTTGGGTTAGGGTTAGGTTGAATGCAAATATTGGCGTGTGTGGTAATTTTCGTTATAATCAAGGGAAAATCGAAATCAAAAAACCCTTTCAAAATTTCTGCCGCTGCGGGCAATGCGCTCTCTGGCCATATGCGCAAGCAACGTCCAGAATCGGCCGTCTGGGGCAGCCCACCCATACAGACAGAGAATCGCTCGGACCTTAGCGAGACTATTGCCCTGCTAGGGACTGTATGACTGTCTGGAATTTCAAGGACCTCGCTTAGGCGATGTCATCAAACTTCCGCAGCTTTTCAGTCGGTTGATTCGTATATCAATCCGTGTTCCTTATAGATTCCATGCTCAGCTCTAATGGCAGTAATATTCCTGGTAAGGTTACAACCCTGAACAATGAACATGGAATCTATAGAAGTTTGAAATTTTCAGAATATAATCTTTTATGTATGGAATGTCATCACACCGCTCATGGAGATCTGCCACCCGAGAATATCGATAATCATTAGTAATGATACGGAGAACTTTGTTCTGCAGCACCTGTAGCCTACTTAATTGGGTAGGTGAGACGCTGCAAAACACTGGACAGGCATATGTCCTTACAGGCCTTATTATTTGCGTAATTTTCAGAACAAGCAATTATGGCATTTCTGAGCCAATACTATCGTTTGTAAAAATTCTGTATCTACTAATGTGTTGCCACACTTGAAAGCGGGTAATTTCATGCGAGAATAATGTTACTCAAAGAATAGAAAACTGTACTTTAAAGATGATGAAATAGTCACACATAACTTATGTTATTTTATTCTCATGGATCTCACTCTGAATAACTTAAAAATTTCAAAACTAAAATTTTTTTTGGATTCACGTTTCCATCCTCTTTGGCAATGATGTACCTGGTGGGGGTTTTTCGTTCATGGCATTGTCATCCTTAGTGGTAGTTAGCTATTGCTGATGGGGCTTCACGTGATCTTCATCGTCGTGTCCTCATCTTCAGTTCAGCATTGCTCTCTGGCATCAACATTTGCCACCACCACAATATTTGGTTCAATGGCAAAGTATCTTCTTCACTAGGACCTCTGGTGATAGTGGATCTGTTGTTGTAATTGGCACCAGGGTATGTCCTTCATGTTTTCACCCCCATTCTTGAGGTGAGAGCTCATTCCCGAGCCACTGCTATACCTACTTGGTTGTAGGTGCGCCAGGAATATTGTGTAGCTGTGCTCTCATTATTTATTGAGCGGTAGCTGATGTCAGGTTTATCATTTGCCACTGACCTGACTGGTTGAGGGAGATCTGTCTTGCTTGAGCCCCATATCATCTGAATATTCTCATCCTCTATATGTGAACTCGCTATGAGTGGCAGAGGGGTTGTAAATAATATTTGCAGCTTCCTTAATGATTTATTCAGATTTTTAGTAAAATTTGTGATGCATATGTTCTGTCGCAGCCGGTAAGTTAATGTAACGGATGTTCAAACCTTGCTGCTGCATTTCTCGGGTGTACAATGTAATTGTTTTGGTTTTCCCTTGTCCAGGGATTTAGCAGTGGGTTGTTTTGGATGGTAGGAGTGTGAGTTATCAAAAAAACAGTGATGCCCACATATATGTAAATCAGCCAAATGGACTAAATAAAGGATTTATATACCGGGGTGGCTACGGAAGTATTGCCTACGGAATATCTCATTTATTGTATGAAGTAGGTTTGTGAAATTTGGAGCGTCGAAATAATGACATAAGAGCTAGAATTTGAGCATATTGACATGTCGAATTTAACTTGCGGTCTGACCGGAAGTAACATCAACTTTCTTATTTTAAATGGAAACCCTTTTTTTTTCGCTTTATTCAGCATTCAATGCCCTTTCTAATGACATATCACAAGTTAGTATCTAACCAGAAACTAGATCAGAAAAAAATCTGTTTTTTTGTTATTTGAAGAATAATATTTTTTGGTATTTCATTTCAAAAAATGACTTTCTATTATATCATTAGAAAGGAATGGTTATGCTGAATGGTACAGGCAGGAAAAAGTTGTATGTTCCTATTTAAGTTATGGACCTACAGAGTAGGTATTGTTTTTTTCCCAATTTTTCCAATATTTTTTGGCGGTTTTTTATAACGCCGACGAATGAAAATAAAATATCATAGTAGTAGCAACTGTTTTCAAGTGGCGTATAGTTTCCATAACCAACTTTTCAATTTTTGGCTTTCATTTTGCTTCCACGGCCTACTCGGTGAATTTCAATAATAATTTTTTTCTGATCTAGTTTCTGGTTAGATACCAACTTGTGATATGTCATTAGAAAGGGCATTGAATGCTGAATAAAGCGAAAAGAAAAGAAAGAAAAAATAGGGTTTCCATTCAAAATAAGAAAGTTGATGTTACTTCCGGTCAGACCGGAAGTTAACTTCGACATGTCAATATGCTCAAATTCTAGCTCTTATGTCATTATATCGACGCTTCAAATTTCACAAACCTACTTCATACAATAACTGAGATATACCGTAGGCAATACTTCCGTAGCCACCCGGTATATATAAAGATTATGTAAAATTTCGGATAAGGACGGTGAAAACCCCTCGCTTCTCATTCCTTTGTAAAACATAACGTGGACCTATTTGATATATATTCAGGGTGATTCAAGTTTTAAGGTACAAACTGAAATGAGTGATAAATCTCATCATTTTGATCCCTAGAATTGAACGAGATATTTCAATTGATAAACAAAAATATTATATTTAGAGCTTCGCTACTGATCAAGATAGGTTTAATGAATACTTTTCTGCTTAAAATGATGAGATATATCACCCATTTCAGTTTGTACCTCCAAACCTGAATCATCCTGTATTTTCATGAAGAGAATTAAATTCTCTACAACACTTGAAGAAGAAAATGTATTCCTTGGATAAATCGTTCAAACCATATGACGGAATGTTCAATGAAAAGTTTGATGTAATAATCTTTTATTCAAAAATTTACACTTTTCGTCTCATTCAGCTCGAAAACGGTTGGGGACGAGAAAAAAATATCTAAAGTTATAGAGAATTTAATCAGCACTCATTTGAAACCAGTAATTAATTTTCAACGACGAACCCTTTCCAACCTATACCTATGTGGCAATAAATCGTTCAAGTCCTTGCTCACACAATCTCTACCCACTTCTGAGTCATTCGTTGCTTGAACTATTTCACCTAATCACAATAGAAATCGAATCTTAGATCATGTTCGTTTTTCTCTATTCTATGTAATACACCGCAAAAGGAGAAATTCCACAATAATTGAAGTGAAACATACTTTGTTTAAGTACGTACTTTCAGATCCCATACTTTTTTTGTTGGTTCCATTTCAATTTCAAAATTGAAAAATAGCATGTACGTTTGTACGAACACTTTATTCAGTTAGAATACCAATAATGTGGTGAAATTCCATTCAACTATTTTTTTAACTCGTTATTTTTAGGAACTGTCGCTTGGGTTGAAAAGATGAATTGGAATACAAAACCTTTATGGCAATCCGCTGGAAGAAATGGATTTATCAACGATGGTTACTATGAAGGATATGTTCAGAAAGCAGAAAATTTCGCTTTTTATTGGGTAGATAGAGCAGGGCACATGGTTGGTATATCATTGTACATTTTTCGAAGATCATACAGATATATACAACTGACATTTTCGCTCAGATTCGTTTGATTATAACTTCCAGAAAAATCAACCAATTACGGTAACTAGAGGATAATTATTAATACTCGTCAAGGTTCCACTAGAGAACAATAATATTATCTATTCTCTATGGGTCACATAACCGTGAAAATGTTCTTGTGTAGAGTTTCAGAAATGAAACACACTATTTTTGTGACCTTTAAAAAAATCATATTAACAGAACAATGTGATCAATCAATAAAAATATAAATGCGATTCGAGATATAACATCAAACTCCATGATACAATATGAGAAAACCAAAAAAAAATTTTTTTGGACGGTATGGGATCACTCCAAATTATTCTATACAAGTTTGCAGTGTATACTATTCATCGCCCTTTAAAACATGTATTTTCTTTTTTTTCGTTTTTGGAATACATGATTCTGAAGACAAAAAAATGAGCTCATGAAATTTGAAAACTGAATTGGAGTAGCTTAACTTTCTTGGAATTTATAATCTTACAAATCTGATCGGGAATTCCAAATGTCCCGCTTCAATAATTGCGGGGCAGTATACAGGGTGATTCAAAATTCGATGTAAATATTTTAAGGACATTTTTGGGATCAAAATAAGACTTTTTCTCAATATAAACATGTGTCCTATAGAAAATTCCCCCTCCCCCCAAGATACAGCCACTGTAAGTTATTAGGTAAAAAAAATATTCTGAAATTGTGACTAAAATAACAGATCAAATCTCCTGAAAATTTGCAGGTCCCTGTCGTTTTAGACACTTTATTTCATTATTTCTTCGAAAATTATGCTTCTGAAAGATGTAATCAATTAATTCTCTGACAATGACAATCTAATCCTTCCAACATTAGAACATTCTATATACAAGGTGTATGGGGATATGTCAAATTGAATGTTAATAGAATGTTTGTTGCGAGATGAAAATATTTTATGATCATTCTGAGAAAATTATATCAGAATATTCTGAAAAAAGTAAATTTAAACATTGTCAGAATATTCATAGAATATTCCGTGCTGTCTGGGGTGAAACCTATTTTTTTTTTTTTTCAGGTACCCGCTGACAATCCATCAGCCATGTACTACATCTTGAGAGACGTTACGGATAATTTCTCAGTTTGAATTATTTGTTGTAAATAAAACACACTATCGTTACACAGATTTGAGAATTCGTCATTTTTCCCGAAGATTCTTCTATTACGTTCAAGTATAGTGAATAATTAATGCGTTTCATCTATTCAAATTGACATGCTTCCAAAAATAGTGATAAATAGTTATTTAACCAACTAGTGTATCAATGAGGGCGATTCATGATCGAGTTATTATAACGTGCGAGCAAAGCAAGCGCGTAGTTGTTCACTGAGAAAACTTGTCAAGTATATCGTTTTCTCGAAAAAGAGTCGATTGTGACAAATACATTTTCACCAACGGTAGGAAAATAAGGTACTCGAAGTAGGCAAAACAATATTTCTGAAACAATGTTTCTGCTGTAAGTGATCAGGACACTTTGTGACGTTTATTTGCTGCAGGATTAGCTCAGTGCAAACGAGTACGTCCAGGATTCAGGTTTATTTGATGTTTGCCAGACCAATAAAGTAATACACAGATGTTAAAGTAGAAGAACGAATGTATTTCCTATTGTTCACAATAATAGTGTCGAGTATTTCATTTATCTCAAAATAAAATATGTGTACCGCGTAATCTTCTTTCTTGATCTTCCTCACTGGCCTCTCGGGGTAGGACCTCTAGTCAGGATCATAAGTTACCTTCAGGTTTCCAGGACAGAAGGTTATCTCGTACTTGTTATTACACGTCGGTGAGATAGGATATTAAACTACCTATCGTGGGCAGCCACGGGCGGCTGGGCGGACGGAATAATCAACTATGATATTCCACGTCGTCAAGACGTTTCAAAAACAACCCAAACACCACTGACAGGAAATTAATTCCAGAACGATATGGAATACTTGGCAGGGGGAAAGCCTCGGGCGGCTGAGCGGGTGAAAAGAGAATTCTGTGTCTGCTGAGACACCCAGAATTCAGAACGCTGTTGAAATGAAACTAATTCCAAAGCGATGTGCAAAGCTCCACGGTGGGCAGCCTCGGGTGGCTGAGTAAAAAAAAGAATTCCGCGTTGCCGGAAGTGTACCACTATTCGTAAAAGAGTACAACAGATCGTTGCTCTGGTAAATGCTATGAAAATGATTGTTGGGCAGCCTCGGGTGGCTGGGCGGACAAAAGTGAGAATTCTGCGTCGCCAGAGACGTACCAGAAAATCACTGTTTGTGAATGATTACACGAAATTATTTTATATCGATATGTAAACAGGAAATAACTTCGGGGCAGCCTCGGGTGGCTGGGCGGACAAAAGTGAGAATTCTGCGTCGCCAGAGACGTACCAGAAAAGCACTGTTTGTGAATGATTACACGAAATTATTTTATATCGATATGTAAACAGGAAATAACTTCGGGGCAGCCTCGGGTGGCTGGGCGGACAAAAGTGAGAATTCTGCGTCGCCAGAGACGTACCAGAAAATCACTGTTTGTGAATGATTACACGAAATTATTTGATATCTATATGGAGAACAGGAAATAACTTCTGGGCAGCCTCGGGTGGCTGGGCGGACAAGAAGTGACAATTCAGCGTCGTCGAGAACGTACCAGAAGAATCACTATTTGTAAACGGGGCGGAGTTCCCGCAATTATTTACTTCCGAGAAGAAACCCAAGATCAACCCTTGGGCAGCCTCGGGTGGCTGGGCGGACCGAAAAGTGAATATTCCGCGTCGTCAGAAACGTACCAGAAAATCACTGTTGGTAAAGTACAGGGAAACTTGTCAGATCTCGAATGGAATAGAAATATATGTGCTGGACAGCCTCGGGTGGCTGGGCGGACCAAAAAGTGAATATTCTGCGTCGTCAGAAACGTACCAGAAAATCACTATTGATAAAGTACGTGGAAGATTATTTTATTTCCAATACAATAGAAATATAATCACTGGGCAGCCTCGGGTGGCTGGGCGGACAAAAAGTGAAAATTCTGCGTCGTCAGAAACGTACCAGAAAAATCACCATTTGTAAACGAGTGTTACAGAATTATCAAATCTCGAGAAGAAATAGGGAAATAATCGCTGGACAGTCTCGGGTGGCTGGGCGGACCGAAAAGTGAATTTTCCGCGTCGTCAGAAACGTACCAGAAAATCACTGCTTGGAAAAGAACTGGAAAATTGTCAGATCTCGAAAGGCATAGAAAATATAATCGCAGGGCGGCCTCGGGTGGCTGGGCGGACCGAAAAGTGAATATTCCGCGTCGTCCGAAAACGTACCAGAAAATCACTATTTGGAAAAAGAATGGAAAATTGTCAGATCTCGAATGGAATAGAAATATAGGTGCTGGACAGCCTCGGGTGGCTGGGCGGACCGAAAAGTGAATATTCCGCGTCGTCCGAAAACGTACCAGAAAAATCCACTATTTGGTAATGATTAAGGGAAAATCACTGCTCTTGAGAATAAATCGAAAATAATCGCTGGGAAACCTCGGGTGGCTGGGCGGACCGAAAAGTGAATATTCCGCGTCGTCCGGAAACGTACCAGAAAATCACTATTTGGAAAAAGAAAGGAAAATTGTCAGATCTCGAATGAAAAATAGAAATATAGGTGCTGGACAGCCTCGGGTGGCTGGGCGGACCGAAAAGTGAATATTCCGCGTCGTCCGAAAACGTACCAGAAAATCCACTATTTGGTAATGATTAAGGGAAAATCACTGCTCTTGAGAATAAATCGAAAATAATCGCTGGGAAGCCTCGGGTGGCTGGGCGGACCGAAAAGTGAATATTCCGCGTCGTCCGAAAACGTACCAGAAAATCACTATTTGGAAAAAGAAAGGAAAATTGTCAGATCTCGAATGAAAAATAGAAATATAGGTGCTGGACAGCCTCGGGTGGCTGGGCGGACCGAAAAGTGAATATTCCGCGTCGTCCGAAAACGTACCAGAAAAATCACTGCTCTTGAGAATAAAAATAGAAATATAGGTGCTGGACAGCCTCGGGTGGCTGGGCGGACCGAAAAGTGAATTTTCCGCGTCGTCAGAAACGTACCAGAAAATCACTTTTTCGAAAACAGGAACAGGGAGCAGTGAAAAGTAGAATAGGAAAATGCACCAGCAGAAACTTATTACCGATTGTACAAAATGAAAATGAAATCCAAACAAATGATCGAATTCTAACTGTTAATCGAGACACGTATGAAGTATGGAATATCAGGTTAGCGGAGTCAAACAACTTTCCACGCGGTCCGGTTTATTCATGAGCGAGCACGACTATTTAATTCAGGCGGTTGAGAGTTGAGATCGACTGCCGTCTCCGATCGACCGCTGTGACCAGCTTGGCTCTCGCCGCGTCCCCTCTCTTCTGCGGCGTAGCGACTTTGCACGATTGAAATGAAACGGGACTTCGTTCCGTCGGTCGACTGGTACAGGGTGTTATTTAAAAAAAAAAGATAGTTGATTCCAGATTTTAGGAACGAATCTTAATAATTCGTTACAACTTGTTTGTATTAACCAAATCGATATATATCCAGAGGTCGCTGATTATGAGTGGACTCTGAACTAGTGCTAGGTTAACAGTTATTCGTTAACCCCACGATTATTAAACTATTTTTCTGAGACAAAATCACTTGCTCTGAGCAAACTCATCGATGAAGACAATCGATTGGTGCCGGTGACAGCTCACCTGTGGTTACACATCTATTCTCTGTTCATATATTATTCGGGTGCCCACACCCAACTCGACCACTCCCACTGTCCACGGCTTCATTATGGTCCTATCAGTTGTGAAGTTTGCATGCGTTTCCGCAGGTAGAATTGAAATTCCAAGTCATGCAAGTGCCCTCCTAAACATATGCTATACTTATCATATTCGTGAAGATTATCTGTTTGTGTGCCGCGCTCAGAGCTGTGGGGTGTTGAGTTCTTGATATGTTATTCTATTGAAGCAGATAATGAAATACCAGAACTCTACCAGAACAGTACATAATTGTTTACATCTACAGGATTATTTCCACTTCCACTCTCGAAGTGTGAGAAAGTGAATGAGTATAATAGTTGATTCAAATTTCACTTTTTCATCTTCATTATACTGAAGAAAAAAAAAGTGTACCAGTGCCGTTTTCTCGGCGCATGATCCTGATATACAGAGTGTCTCAAAATTGCTGGGACACACAGCTATCACATGTAGAGAAGGTCAAAATGAGTTGATTGGACCCAATTCAGTTATGTGCCAAAATGTACCGATTGTCCGTGATAAGGGTTCAAAGTCACATAAAAAAACACATTTTTGTACGCTGTTCAGAAATAAGTGAAACGAATTCAATGAAACTTGGCAATAGTGTATTTCAGAGGATCATTTTCCTTTTGGTGATCGAAGGAACCTAAAAGAAATTGTAGAAGGGTTAAAACCACCCTCACCCCTTGAAATTTTTTTCAGAACTTTTTTAGGGGTCATGATACTGTTCTAAAATTTTTTAAACTTGAAGACTAATCAATTACCTTCATTTTATTGCTCTTGTAAAAATTTCATATACCGCATGGTTTCAAAGAAAAAAAATGTTCTCTCAAATAATGCTACCAGATATTCCCAGTAGAAGTTTAATTAAATTGGGATATAAAACATAGTTGGCAGTGGAAACAAGGGCAAGTCGTGTTTTTGACAGGAAACAAATTTATTGTCATTCAAGTTTGTTGTTGACGTTGTCTGTAAATGTTTCAATAAATTCTCCAATTTTGTTATTACCATTACCGACCATTTATTACTATAGGAATATCTGGTAGCATTATTTGAGAGAACATTTTTTCCTTCGAACCCATGCGGTATATGAATTTTTTACGAGAGTAATGAAATGAAGGTAACTGATTAGTATTCAAGCTCAAAAAATGTCAGAACCGTATTATGACCCCTAAAAAAGTTCTGAAAAAAAAATTTCAAGGGGTGAAGGTGGTTTTAACCCTTCTACAATGTCTTTTAGGTTTCATAGATAAGCGAAAGAAAAGTAATCCTCTTGAATACATTTTTGCCAAATTCCATCAAATTCGTTCCACTTATTTCCGAACAGACTACAAAAATGTGTTTTTTTATGTGAACTTTGAACCCTTCTCACGGACAA